CCGCGGGGCGAACAAGTCTTATCTGAACAGCGCGACAGTTTTCAACCTGGGGCCAAAGGCACTTTGGGCGGCCTTTCAAGGTACTCGAAAGTCACTTAACACGTTTTTGAAAAGTCAGACAAGGCAGCATGGACTTTTGTTCTTAAGCTGGTCCGACGACTCTGTGCTCCGAACATGCAACACAACCGGATTTCATGCCAATGCATATCATCACCTTTTATCCACTTAGGACCACCAACAGTGAGACATTAAAACCTACATTCATGTACTCATTTTAACCGAATACGCCGGCCCCATTACGGGTAGTGCTGGCCACCCCCAGTACGTCAGGCACAGTGTATAAGTTGTGACATTTGCAACATGCATAAAAGGGCAGGGTTTATATATATATATATATATATATATATATATATATATATATATAATATATATACGCGTCTTGAAATGTACATTTTCTTTCATTACATGCCCATGCGTTTGTACATAGAGGCATGCTTTTGTCTGTTTCCATCAACTTGGTGAAATTCTAATCTTACCGGTACAATTCCATCCAAATCCTTACTTTGACTTGAGTGACCCGGCCGGGACGTCAGGGTTTCTAGAAGCTCACGCTGTGTAACCACTGATCGTGGCTTCACGCCGCCTTCAGCAACGACAAGCGCAAGCGTCTGCCCATCTACCAAGCGTCGCAAGCCGCCTGTGCGTTGGTCTTTGTTAACCCGCACCTTTCCTATCACTTTGCCCGTCCCTCGCCGCGCGGGGCGTTTGATGGGCCATGTCATTGCGCATGATCTCGACTTCTGTATATCATTACAGAGCCGACATCAAGCTTCCGAATGGTTGCATTCATCAAGTGAAGTGTTCTTCACACAATTTTGATGTTCCATCGCGTTAAAAATCGCTACTGACGAAATATTGCCTCCACAGAAGTGCAAAGTACGGGAGTTTCGCAAGTAAATTTTGCATCCAATTTTTCGGCGCCACATTTTTTGTTCCCTCCATACAAACGCACAGCAGTCATTTCATAGTACACATCAAAATACACCAATGGCATGCATTGCGAATGGAGACAATAAGCTTTACCTGGTCCACGAAGGACATGACATGAGCATTCTTCGAAGTGTTGAGATGAATGACATTGTAATTATGGCGCACGCACAGGTCATAGGCGATGCCCATGAATGTGGTAGAACCAGTCTTTGGCACTCTGTTGTAAATGACAATAGTTTCGTCTCTAGGAACGCTCTCCGGTGGTGATGACATGTGGCGTTCTGAAACACAGGATATAATCACATTTAGGCCGAAAGTACGGCTTCACAATGCTTACGCCTTACATCAATTCATGGCGTTGGAAATCAAGTACCTGTGTTTTCTTCTCCACACCGAATCATAGTCCAAGATTTAGCTTTACAATTATTAAACAAACCATTCCATTTTGAGTAAAAATGAGAAGTTGACAGATAAGTTAGAATTTTTGACATAACGTACACTGCACGGTTCGTTGGAAGCGACCCGAAGGCCCACATAAAGGCATCGAGAACATCATCCAAAAGCTCAGCACTCGGCGATTCCGAATGTGCACACCATTTCAAAATCGATTTACTTACCAACATAGGCTAGACGGGACTGAAGTGACGCCAAGCGGTTTTCATAATGTATCACTGTTAAGTAGAACAGTAACACTGACACAATAAGGAGCGCGAAGAACCGCGGTCCCACGGAAACCATGCCTGTGAAAGGAGAGGTCACAGTTGTAAAAGCGAGCACATACGATGATGAACGTGAGCGCAGGTAGACAGAGTCACAGCTGAACGCTGACAAAACGAGGCACATCGATTCAGCCATCAGGACAGCCGCATGCAATAACGCCATATCAACCGAATATAGTTCCCAGTCGATTTACTGCATTTCTTTCTCAGAAAAAAACTGCATAACAGCCTAAAACGTGGTTTATATTTTAGCGATCCCGAGTTACCCGACATGAGACTAGCACCATTGCTGCAAGAAGATAAACAGGTGATAGCACCGGAAACACTTCAGGTCGATGTGTGAGGTCGGTCACGCCGGTTCTAGTAAAAGCCTGAACCGATTGCCTACTGAGATCCTGATCAGACCAGGAGATCTTAGTGCTAGGTCGCCTAAATCTCCCCTTTCTTGTCTGTGACACGGGCGACGTTCTTAACCATGCGTGTCAACCAGACAGTCTGTTCTTTGAATTATTTGCCACACTTGGTCTAGCCCTGTGGGTAACCGCGCGTTTCCACCACTCTGGGGACACCTCAGCCCTGCTTCTTATCGCCGAGTACGATAGGAGGGTTCCGTTCAATGTCAACGAGTATGCTAGGAGGGCTCGGTTCAATGTCTGCCTCCCTTGCCAGACTGTCACCAGTATTCCACTATGAGCGGCCGCTGGCTTCGTCTTCGATCACACGTTTACATCTCCTGCCATCACACCAGACCCGTTAGGAGATCCACATCCACATCCACAAGTGGCATCAACAAGGGTGGATGCCACTTGGTCTCGTGGAGACCGGCGGGAGTGAATCGGCACTTTGAACTGGACCGCCGCAATACTCCGGGAACATATTATTTATTTCTTGAATTTGTTTATGTTGCTGTTGGACGAGCTTGTACCGCCGGCCGACGACAGCGCAAATGTTCGATTTCATGGAAAGCCAGCCTGCCGACCAGCCCACGCAATAGGAGGAAATATGCCTGGATAAAATAGGAAGAAATCAGACCCCTCTGCAGCACATCTTTGGATCAACGGAGGCCTGAGAACGCTCTTCGCCGCGAATGCTAGGCTAGGAAATCCCTTCATCGCTTCTCAACCGAGTATAAGAAAGGATTGTCAGAAAAACTGAAAGCTTTCTGACACAATATCAGGCATTCTCAAACTAATGATGGAAGTCCCACAGGTGATTCAGCATGACAGCACGGTCCTTCGCGACGTCATTTGAAGACGTTGATGTGCGAATGTCTCCACAATCAGCAGCAGCTGCACAGCAATTTGCCACAAAGTTGACAGCAACCATTGTTCTCCATGAGCAAGATGCCCTTGGTATCCTTCAGGCTCTTGACACAAGCTGCTTGGTCACTGTGCACAAGATTCACCTGATGCTGCTTAAGAGTTGTGCTCAGCATGCAGCTTATCCCCTGAATCAGGTATTCCACAAGTCCTTAATCAAATCTGCCCTTCAGTGAAGTGCAAACATGTACTGTTGTTGCACCCATCCACAAGAACAGGCATCAATCAGATCTGCTAGATAGCAGATTCTTGGACATTGTCCTTTTATATTTTTCCCAAAAGCTTGTGCCATTGTCTCTATGGCCATCTCAAGAGCCAGGATGAAATCTCATTAGCCTGGTCCTGCTATGTGTGATAGACATGATCATAAGGAATAAAATGGTCAGATATAAACAAAACAGCACACAGATTATTCATTGCAGACAGTGGGGCATTAAGATAAGAACCTGCAAAGCAGCAGCTTCTACTAAACCAAATTGTTGTTACAAGTTGGGGACATTTGTGTAAAGAAAAATGAAGGAATGCAAAGTCAGAAGCAACTTGTATTGAGCTTTGTGGATAAAAATAACAAGTGACATTCATTTTTTCTAAGGCTTCCAGAAGAAAAGAAACTTGATTGTGCAAGCAAAATTTAAAGGTTGGCCATGTCAAAGTGGGGAGGAGGGGGGGGGGGGCAGAGGAAGTGGAACACCTCCCCAGTCCAGAAGTTGAGGGGGCAAGCACACTTTAAACCCACCTGTCCTGCAGTGATAGCTAATTATCTTATATTTTTACATACCATAAGACCCAGCATAGACTTCTGCATGCCAGACATCTATGATCTAAAACCTTGCTTGCATGATGAATGGAATCAAACAGATATAAATCCCTGGTCTTCAAGGCTTACCCATTGTGGATGCCCATGACCAGTGGATTTTGCATGCAGTGCTGCATTCAGCTTTCATCCTCCTCAAACATTCTTTCCTTATATGCTCTGAGACCAGGAGCCCCAAAAGATGACCTGAGCAGGTGAGCTCATCTCCCTATGTTGGACACTTCATGATTGCTGTTCGTGTCTTTGATATACTTCCTAAATACCTGACAGCTTATCCTTTTCCCATTTGATATGCAAATTTAGCCCTCCCTCCCTCCTCCCCCCTCACTCCCCCACTCCCCCCCCCCCCCCACCCCATCAGCCCTCCTGTATCTGGTGACTATACCAGTGATGTGCAAAATGTGATGATGTGATTATGATGTCCTGATTTCATTTTAAAGGTAACATGATACAATACTCCTATGCATGCTTACTACTTGCACTGCACATCTGAGACATGTTCTTATATATATGGCTTTATATTAAGAAGCAAAAGGAAAACCATTGCATACTTTACAAAGCTTAACTTGGAAGCTTATAAAGAGCCTCAAAATCTGGTTGCCATATTTCTCCTTGCATAGTTTAACAGCTCTTTTCTGATTTCATTAAGCAAACAAAAATTGAAATGTCTCATTCCTATGCAATTAATACATAACAGACAGACAAGAAACAAGAAGACAACACACAATGCATTCATCAGTGTATAAACTTCTACAACAGGGATTGCCAGAGGGGTTTACCACAGTGATATGTCCTGCTAAGTACCCATCACCAGCATGCAGCCAGCAATGTCCAAGGACCTCCAAAAGCTGTTACTCATCTGCTTCACTCACCTGATGATGTACTTAACTTGTCTGATAGAGAAATATCCTGCATAGCATAGCATAGTTGGCCCTGTCACCAATAACAATGCATTGGATTTGGTGATGCTGCGTGCATGCGCTGACATTTCTGCCGCGATGTCTCTACTTTGCCCGAGGTGTTCGGCGTAACGTGTATTTTTGCAGTCCGGCAGTGTGTTCATTCCTCAGCCTTACTGAATACCATACACATGATCAATCTCAACTTCATAATTATGACGACGCCTCTGATGAATATCCAGCAACAGCTAGTACCTACCTAATCTCGGAGCGTTTAGTCCACCGGAGTAATCACACACAACACATGCACCCAGCACCGCACGATGCAATAATCTCCCAAATGATGTTTCTCCCCTCATAAAGATGCCATTAGTATGCTGTATGTCATAGATGCGTCATTATGCGCGCATCATATAGAGAGGGACAAAAATATTAGAAGGATTGGGAACACGAATCATTGTCCGTACACGTTTTTGTTTCATTTATCCTGACAATTTGCCAGGGCAAGATTCAGAAATTCACCAATCGAGATCATCTCTTAGGGTAAATCATATACCTGGTATTCAGGAATAAAAGGACATCATGTGCAAGTCTCAATTCACAAATGTTATCACAAGATTCAGGCTCGGAAAGTTCACGTGGATATTTTCGTGTGTTTCCTGAACAGCAAAACTGATCGTAGTCAAGTGTTCTAACTACTAATTTTGTAGAAACATGATCTCGTAAATTTGATTGCTACGTTACTGTTCACTGACAATGTGCCAAGGGGAGTGGTGCTCAAGTTTCCCAGCTTGTATGGTGCGGGGCACATTCAGGTGTTTTAGTCAAAACATTGTTGCTTCGTTTGACTGAATTTTTTCTTCCATATTAAAATTGTTTCACATAAAATAGGAAGATTTAGGCTGCAATATGACTGTTTATGTTTTATTAGATTATGCATTAATTTTGTCTGACACAAAGGCTCCACTAAAACTAGTGATTTGTTAGCTTTGTTCCCCATTCCGATAGGGAGAGCGGGAAGTAAACACAGGGTAAACGGTACTGCACGAGGGCGCGGAGTCCTGTTAGTGCAATTCACACCTGCAGGGTTTCTATTGCCTTGCGGTCCACCAGTGTTGCAGGACTGTCTGCTGCGGTTATTATAGGACCTTGCTGCCACGTTGGATTAGAGGGTTCGAGCTTTGGTACAGGTAGGGTAGGGATTGCAGTAGAAAGGTGGACCACTTAAAAATTGGGCGTTGAAATCATGGTGACACCGGCGTAGACCCTGCCTTTAAAGGCAGTTCAGATCGAATGATGCAAGTGTGAAGCACATGCAATGTGCACCGTTTTCATTCTGTTTTTTTTTTTGCTTCAGGTATTTCTAGGTGTGGTGCCTACAGCTGCTATACCAGCAGATAGATTGCTGTGCAAAATTCATAACATGGCTGAAGCATGTTAGGCCACATTTGAGCTTATTTTTGTAATACCTTTGGAGCAGATATAACTGTGCTAATTTTAGTGCATGCATATGCACATCATACAATCTGAGCACTAAGAGTTTGGGGCACCATAGTTACCAACTTCACATGGTGAACTGGTTCCCCACCAAGAAATCAAATGGAACAATTCAGTGTAAATAGCCAACAAGGATAAAAATGAAGCTGAAAAATCCACAGCCAAAATTGAACAGGAATAACAGTTGAGTGGGGTCAAAGTAAAGTCTGAAACAGTCCAAGGACAAAAAGTCAAATGGGATCAAAGTTGACAGGATATTAGTCAAACTGAAAACAGGTTGAAAGGAATCAAAGCTAGCAGAAGTTAATGATTGGAAGATGCTTTACAGGACAACAAGTGAACAAGAACACAAATGAGATCAGAAAAAGTCAAGTTGAGCAGCAGAGACCTGCAACTTATTATTATTTATTCTCATGTATTTTGGGCTGCTCGGTGCAGCTGTCAGCAGCGGAAACGGCCTATCTAGCCATTCCTGGACATTTTCTATGATGTTGGGAGGAACACAAAAACAAAGGTACCCATGGTCAGCCAGGCAGGGCTATGCAGTGCTCCTTGCAAATTACATTTGTTGGTAGTGCTGGTGTTGGTCAGACATGTACATAGTTCCCAATGTTGGTTCATGATTCTCACTTTCCTACCAAAAATGGTCTTAAAAACATTCCTATTCAGTTGGGAGCCTTCAGCCTCCCTCCATATCTTTGAGAAGCAATTGGGCCACATCTGGGAAGAAGCCTGTTTATCCACACTTCATGGGTGTATGTAGGGTTATGTGTCACTTTTTAGCCCCCCTCCCCCCCAAATTATCGTGTGAAAGCACATGGTGGGCTGGTCCACTCCATCCTCTGTGTGTATACACCCTCCAGAAAGGAGTATGGTGACACATCAGGCTTAGAAACTCCAAGATTGAGAGTGACCCTGCCCAGTGCTGCCCTGTCCTCGTATCCTGAGGCCAGCTACGCCGCGGACTTACGCACGGGGAGAAAATCTGGGGGCTGGCGTAAAACCGATCAGGTTTCCTAAATGGCACTGAGTGATGGCCGGGTGTCGCGGGTGATGCACACCCAGTCGGCACAGTGCTCACGGTAGTCGCACATCACTACGGTACTACGGCCTGTGCCTTTGCACTACGACGACCTTTGCGAGCAGAAGCGGGATGGTAAATTGTGTTTCAATCATTGTCTTTTTCAAGCTTTTCCATTGCCTGGGAATGGGAAGCGAGCACAGGCATTTCAGATATACTGACTTTGTGCATCATTTGGTATGTGTGCCATGTGGTCAGGATAGGAAAGTATCTGCACTAGCCGTCGTCAGGCATGCAAACACTGGGGGGAGGGGGAGGTACCCCTATGCAGGTTTGGGTTCTTTACTCAGCCTGCTCACATGCTCAATGCATTTTCTTTGCTCATTTCACTTGCTCATTTGCACTTGCAGCTTTACTCAGCTCGCTCACTCGGCAGCTCATTTGGTTATCTAAGGATGATCGCTCACTGAGCTCCATCCCCTCCCCGCAGGCACATAACCAGTGTATTTTTGTGTGGGTGTCATTTGGGCACGGTTTGAGCACGCTTTGCGTTTGAGTGAGCTTGGACACACTTGCACGCACTGTCCCAGCCGGTAACTTCCCCCGCGCTCATCGAACCGCTTGCACGCTGTGGTTAAGCGAGTTTGGACACACTTGCACGCACTGTCCCAGCCGGTAATTTCCTCCGCGCTCATCATGGGCGCCAGGAAGTTGCGGCACAGCGTCCTGGGCATCACCGCCTCAGAACAGCTGATTGAAACCTTGCAAAACGACCAAAGGTTTTAATGTGCTTAGTCGTTGAATTGATGTGTGGTATGCTAGCAAATTCTGGGGTAAACGGAATGCTCTACGTGTGGTGATAAAGGGGGCATAAAAAGAAGGTGCGAATAATGAGGAATTTGTTCGGCCTTGAAAAATGGCGCCAGACAGAAATAGAGTGCGGTTGAATTTTAGCTGTGGTTGCCTCGATGAAAGGTAAGTAGTATCTGAAAATAATCATCTCAGGCTTAAGTTCAAACTACGACAGATGCTTAAATACAACGGAAATGTGCGCGTTCGGTGGGTCGAAATGAGCAACGAAGGACAAGTTGAGCCTCGGGACGAAATGGGTGATAAGGGTCGGTGGGACCGGCGATTATTCGGGTGGGTTAAATTGGTGTAAACAAATGTCAGGTCGCTGTCTTAACCTCGACGCATGCTTAGAATTCAGCCAAAATGTCACGCAACTCCGGCTGGTCAGAGTGTGCGACAGTCAAACATCCGCCCCCGGTGTGTGCCAGTTTTTCGCAAGCCGCTTTTTGTTTTTGTTGGTTTTTTAATCATTATGAAAGGAACTCTCAAAATAAATTGGCTCAAAACCGAAGTAATCCAACTTAGCGAATGGGCCCTGTTGCGTTGAACTGAGCGCTGATGGTCCGGGCCCCTGGATCCTGGACCTTCACACACCCCAACGCACACACGCGCGCACGCATGCACTTTCCGAGAGCGATTTTGTGCCCTGGCTGTGTTTTAGAGTTGGGATGGGGAGGCCTAATGAGTTTTCACAGTGGATGGTTACCTTTGCTGAATGCTAAGTGAGTTATGCAAAGGCGAGCAAATCTTGTTTCTCCACTCTGTTCTCTTCTGTGCGTAAAGGGCAACACGGCAACATTTCCTACGGCTGTTCTTGTGATGCGGTAACAATCTGGTTTCTTGTCTAAGTTTCAGATCGATAGCTGACCTGATAAGTTAAATGGATAATTTGGATGACGTAAGCCTGAGAGAAAAAGAGGAATATTACAGGAAATTGAATGAGTCGCTAAAGAAGAAAACAGCATCCCTGATATCCCAAGCAGAAAGTGCGTTGAGAGAAAAATCTGAAGCAGCTATTTCATTTGACATACCACGTGAACAGAATGAAGGGCAACGCTGCCCGAGAAGAAGGAACGATGCGTGCATGAAGAGCAAAGAAGTTTTGGGGTCAAGTCAGGCCCCAATATCGAACACACTAGGATCGTCCCAGGAGCCGTATCAAGTGACGCTCGATCAAACAATTCCCCCCAGTCTGTCCAGAGAGTGTTCAGATTCTGAGGATAGTATCACTGAAGAATTTGATCAGCTGAGCACCAAAGAAGATGAATGTTCAAGCGCATCATCAGTTGTTTCAAAAAACCTGAGCAGGTCTGCGCAGACCAGGCTATATCAGGCCAAACTCAGGGTATCTAAGGCAGAAATTAAGCGTTTGAAGGCTCAGTGTGAAAAACTAGCCCGAGAAAACTCTGCCTTAGCAGAAAAAAGCAAGGCGTCAGAAAAGGAGCAGCAACGGGCAGTGGCAGGGTCGCAAAAATATAATTTGGAAATCAATAGGCTGAAGAAAGCGTTCGATGAGGCTAAGAAAGAGTCACAGACGGTAAAAAATGAGTGTGTTTCTTGGAAAAAAGATGCAGAAAATTCAAATAGGGAAGTGCAAACAGTGTTGAACTCAAGTGCTCAGATGGAGGTAAAACTCAGAAGAGCAAACGAGGAAGTCGAAAAATTACGACTTGCACTTGAAACAGAAAAGGGAAAGACAAAGGATTTAACTGAAACGTCTAAGGACAGGATTCTGTCTCTTGAAGCAATGAACAAGAAACTGGAGAAACAAAAGCAAGAACTGATTACGGGCTTTAAGAAACAAATGAAGCTCATCGACGTTTTGAAGCGCCAAAAACTACATTTGGAAGGTGCAAAGCTTCTGCAAATATCGGAGGAAGAATTCTTGAAAGTCATAGATCTGAACCTTGGCGAATGAATCCGCCTTGCGTTTTGTTACAAAGCACGGTTAGGAAATTGCTGCACGTTGGTGGCTGCTTGACCAGTGTTCCATTTCACATTATAATACATTCATATTATTACCTATGTGCGTTTGCTGATAAAGCTGCGTTGATATATCATTTTGAGCATGTCTATGCTGCCGACTCATCGCGGGTCGTTGGATTGGTGTCATGTTTGATGTTGAGTATTCATAAACTAAATGCTTCCGTTGTCCAAGGATTTTTTTGTCGAGGTTTGGGTTTGGGGCTTCGTGGGATCCACTGGGGCACATGTTTTCAGTGTTTAAATAGCGTTGGGCAACAATGTGATGTGTCGAGAGCAGGTGATGCCCTGAGGACGGATCACTCTCCCCACCCCATGCGGTATGCTTGAAGGCTCGGTCATCGGTCCTTTTCTGTTCACTTTGTTTACCAATGATCGCTATGGATACTTGATTCATGGTCACCACATCTCATACACCGACGACACGATGCACGGAGATTTCGCGCCCCCTGACGGACCGTGTTTCGCCGACCCCAAAACCAGTGGAACTTGTGCGTGAGCTTCAGTGCTTGCTCAGTGGCAATTCTTCAATGAATGAAACGATAACTGTTCCTTTTTTGCTCCCTGGGTCAAAGCAAAATTATAAAAGGTCAGCTGAATCACATTGAAGCAAACGATTCGACTGTGTATGCCTCAAGTAGCATCAAAATTATCGGCGTCATAGTCGACTCCGGCCTGTCATGGGCTGCCGATGTCTCGAGAGCCGTAAAAATGCATTGAAACCCTCCTTTCTTTCTACAAATTCTGCGATCACTTCACTTCAGATCTTCTTAAGATCATCATCCCGGCGTACGCGCCCATTGATATCACGTACTGCCTGTGCGTGTGATGTGGGGCGACTAAAAGTCAACACCAAATTTTTAAAAAAGCATCAACTTTGCTTGAAGAGTGATAGCCGGCCCTCAAAAGCACCATATTAAATCCCGGCCTCAAACTCTCTTGCATGGCCGATGATCGGGGCTATGGTGGCGCACCGCGACGTAATTTAGGAGCAAAGTTAATTTTATTTGAGGGACACTAGAGGAGATGGCGCGCCTCAAGAGGCTGCGTGCTCTGCGCCCCACGCGCGCTGTTTCAGCCCGTGAAAAGCGCGCCTCGGACAGAGGTAGCCTGCGCTTGCACGTACGCCGATTGACCGCCACATGGAGGGCGTTTTCGCATCGGGCTGCAGCTGCCTGGGGCCGCCTGCCATAGAACGCCCGTGATGCCACAACACTGGGCGCGTGTAATATCTCCACACGTGATCTGTTTTTATCACTGGCCACTGACCACTGATCGGATCTGGCCCATAGTACATAGGTAGGCTTGTGTCAACTCATATTATCAATCATTGCTCGTCTCGTTTCATAGTATACTTTGAGTGTGTGCCTTTTATGCTGCAACTTTTAGTGTGCAATTTGAAACACTCACCGATTGGCTGCCACACAGAGCGTTTTTCACATTCGGCCGCATCTGTCTGGAACCTCCTGCCGTCGTAGCCGTGATGCCACAACACTGGGCGCGTTTAGGACCTCCGTACGCAATGTGTTTTGATCACTGGCCACGTACCACTGATCTGATCCGGTTCATAGTGTATGGGTAGGTCTGTTTTAACTCTGACAATTGCTTGTATCGCTTTATTGTACACTTTGAGTGCACGCCTTTTATACCGCACATTTAAGTATGCAATTTGAAACATGACCATAACCACGACTTGAAGCCGTAAGAGCCACGTGGGGGATGGTTTCCAATGTACGGATACGGATGTGGTGATTTGACTCCAACATGGCCCGCAAACAGTGGAGTAGGGGGAGCGCGCAGGGCGTCCTCGATCACGCACGAAGTATGCCCCACGGTCATGTGCACGACCAGCGTTCCAAACGTGTCCGTCCGCGAGCTACGCGTCCCTGCAGGCGTTCGCGGTCTCGCCACTTCGACAGTCAAGGAGATCTGGGCTACGATCCCGTTACAACTCGAGTTGTGATTCTCGTTTTGTCTCGCTCGAACGCTGTCCTCATTCGGTACTTGCGCCAGACCCGAACACCTGCAGCCCGTCTTCCGTCGCTTCCGCTGTCAGCGGCAAGGGTGCAAGGCTCCTCGGCTCCCTGTCTCCCAGTAACCCACCACGCACTGGTGCGGTGATGGAGCACTGCGGACTTCACTATCGGCCGGCCGGCTGCCTGCGTTGGCAAGAGCCGCACTAGCACTGGTCTGAGCCACCCTATACTGGTCCAGCGGCGGAGTACTGCGGACTTTGTCATCGGCCTCCTCATGGCTGCTTGCCCTGCGCCTGCAACATGCTATTCAGCGACGGTGTTGTTCGCGGTCACCGATGGACCGCATCTCCCAAACGCAAGCAGTTCGTTTTCGTAAGTCGGTAAGTCGGTAAGTAACAAATCAAAATGAATCAACCAATCAGTAAAAATTGAATCGATGTGTTCTCGTTGACCTCTGTCACCTCTGCCTTTGAAAAATCCTGGCAGCGTCCCTGTGCTCGCTGGCGCAGTGTGCGGGATGAACCTGCGCTGGCCGACATCGGGAGAGCGCTTGATCGCTTGTTGGGCTAGTGTTTGTTAAGTTCGTAGGAATATCGCCAATGGGTAGGGCAGAAGCCAACCACTAGTTCTTGATCCCACGTCACCAATTCGTCGGTGTGATACTCAGAACACTAGCAAACCCTTCCCCCTCTCCCCCAGTCGTAAAACGGCTTGCTCCAAGATCACCGACCCGGCTTCCCGCCGCTCCGTCTCCCGCCATCGAACGTGAAGTTCTGGTGATGCGCCTGCGAAGAGGAGGTGGCGACGCCGTGGGAATCATGGATGCATCCTGGCAGCTTTAAGAACGTGTGGGTACTGTCCCCTCAACCTCAGAGACCCACGGCTATCGGATGCATGCAGATACAAGCGTTTGAGTAAAGCGAGAGGAAAATATCCCAGAATGCGAAACGTACCAGTTACAACTCTTACACCGCCGTATGAATAGCGAACATAAAATGCGTGAATGCCCTACCGGTATAGACAGTCGTGGTTGTTCGCACCGCCAGGCAAAAACAACAGGCAAGGGGTTAAACAAAGCAACAAACTATACCATAACGGGCGAAATCGTTTGGTGGGTTACAGTGAGAAGTTTCTTAATACGGAGCTGCCAGGCACCCGATGGCTCACCCTGCCTCATCACTCACCGCAAAAAACATACGTCTGCGAGCCCCTCTCGATCTGAAGGTACAGGCCACTCTCAATTGCGCGAACACGCCCTGCGGCTGCGTGCACCTGGTGGCAATGTTCGTGGTGATATTCCACAAAGCATCATGCTGCGTGCTCGGGACACGACAGAGCACAGTCTGCACATCATCAGGTCATTCCATCCCTGACACACAGAATACGCGTTGCGGGAACTACGTGATCCGTACGTCTCGAATACGTTCGTTCGTTATCCGTACGTAATTACGCCCGTATGTCGGCACTAGGTTTAGAGAATCGTTCATTCGAATACGATGATGGAGTGGCTGACAAGGCCACACATCTATGAGATAGTTTCTTAGACAACTAGACAACTGAGTTCAAGATTGCAACGAACGACATTCATCTTGGGTCAGGTATGAAAGGTTAGACCGAGGTCAAAGCGTACCTGCTTTTCAACGGAGAACTTCATGGGGTGACTTCCGATACTCATTTTTAGTTTGTTGATAGCACGGACTGCAACAACCATCTTCCATGGGCTTCGTAAAGGTAAAAGTAGGCCACTGGCTCTAACACCGATCAACGTTGTTTGCTCGAGAACGTAGCGGGTAGCAGAATCCTTTGACGCTTGCTCATATTTTAATATCAAAACATCCTTTCAGAATTTTGGTCTCCATGACCTCCTAAAGGTCAAATAAGGTCACTGAACTAATAATAACCACACCTGACCATTTGCTTAGAACAGGTATTTATACAGTCAAGGCGGGTGCATGTAGGGGCATGAGGGTGCTTCGGATACCAATCAGTTTAACACGCGCTCGGGTTGGGGGTCAAATTTATCCTCAAAGTTTTTTCCAAAATGGTTTCCGAACGGCAAGACGCAGTCGCGCCAAATTTTGCATAGCTGTAGACATGGCAATAGTGGATCGTTTGGTGTAAGCATTAAGATGTATATTGTAAGGTCGCTGACCTACGACAGGTCAAAGTCAGGCCATGGATTATGCAAAGTCGATTTCTAGGGAATTTTTCAGTCTGATGCAACAACGAAGTGTTGTACGGGGCCATACATCTCTGGGACGCTTTTCTTATGCAAGCATAACAATTTATTGAACAAATTCCATTGACTTTAAGTCAGTTTTGAAGGCCAGACCAAGGTCAAAGCCAATCTATTTCATTACTCTAGGGCTTGCTGTAAGGGGGTAGTTTCTGGCGCTCATTTTGAATTTGTTGATAAGAGGAACCACATTATACATCTTCAATGCATTTTTTAAAATTCAAAATAGGTCACTGACCTAAAATGACCCAGGTCAACATTTTGTTTTTAGAAACATTCTGCCTGGCGTTATCTTTATTGCTTATTCAAATGCAAAACTCATAGCAGTCTGGTGTGATTTTTGTCACCATGACCTTAGAGAGGTCAAACAAGGTCATTTACCTTGAATGAGCGTGTGGGCCTGTGCTTAAAGCAGGTATCTGGGTTGTGAGAGCCACTTTGGAGACCAACCCGGAAATTGCCCTTGCTTGATCTTATTTGACCAAGTCATGACCTAGGAACCTCAAACTTTGCCCTGAGTGAGTTCAGGCACAGGCCTATTCACCCTGTAAATTTGGTGCTTCTAGCTCACCTAGTTCCTGAGAACTCAGGGTCAAATTGCCCCTCCCCCCCTCCACCCGAGCGAAAGGTATCCAAGCGGCCACCCTGGAGCGTGTTAATCTCGTTCGACCTTATTTGTCCTAAAGATCATGCCTAGGAACCTTAACGCTTAACATAAGTGGTGTCATATTTAGACGAACTCAGCCTACAAATTGGATTTCTCTATCTCTCTTACGTTTTGATGTCAGTGGTAAAATAAGAGCATGTGCCAAATTTTTGGGTGTCAAATAATTGAGCCCCACCGGAGCGTTTGGTACTCGATTGGCATCCGGAGAACGTGGTAAAATAAGTTCCCCGTCCGGTAAAATAAGCTCATCTGTCTGACCCCTCTTGCTCGCTCAAGCAAGAAACGCCCCCATGAAAGGAGCTATAATGATGGATGCTCTTCATTTCTTTTGGACATCACATTTTCTTGTCATCTTGGGTCCCATTTCGCGTTTACCAAAGGTTTGTCTTCCGTGGGCCTTTTCCCAAGGATAGTAACGCTTACCTTGGAATGGTTTTCTTTTCAAAATAAGCATTCTCGAAATCCTTTTTACGTCATTAATTTGATTTGGATTCCACAACGCGTAATAAAGGTGACAGGAGCGCGGCATTATCTGCTACTGTTTAGAGTACCGGTGACGTCATGCCATCCTGTGATAATAAGGCGAGCTAGGCCGTTGAGGTATTTTACTATCCTTGGAGGCGTCGTGTGCTCCGTTGACGTTAGAAATACACGTGGTGAGCTGAGTCGAGTGTGGGAGTGAGGTGGGGGCCCCGAGGCGGTAAATAAAGTTAATGAAGGGAACCAGTTAGGCATTGGTTAAAGGACCGTCAAAATTTTTGTCATACGTCCGCGCGGTTGGTGGGCGCCACGCCACCGGGTTGGACTCCGTCTTGTTCAGGTGTCATCCACGTGCCAGACTGCAGGATACACAAGTTGCACCGGACACATTCTCCGTAATATTGACATCCCTACAATGATTTAGTGCACGCACATCATATGTGCGAAAGGCCTGATCTGAGGGCACAGTAACTTCCAATTTTAGCACAAAATGCTTATAAGAGTCCATGTTTTGAGAGATTATGATGCTAAGAACATAGTTGTGTGCAAAAATCTCTCAGTTCAACAAGCAAAAAATTTGATTGATGAAAACGACTTTGCCTCTAACAAGCTTAATGCATGCATGCTACAGGTTCAGTGCACTGATATCATGCAAGCATTTTGGATCATTGAATGGATTTTTTGCAGACTGGCCCACATGCTAGTCTCCCCTGACATTTTTTTTGGCCATGCTTTGTGTGCAGTCTGCATATTTGTTTCACTGGTCAGACATTTTATTTAAATGGCATGAATGAAGGACATGGAATTTTGAATGATATTTACATTCCTACAAAGTTCCTTTCTAGTACAGGATGCAGTGTGCTTAGGTGTCAAATGTGGTTCTGCTATCCAGCTCTGTACAGTTATATGCTGTCATCTATTCACTATTTCTCCACACATCTGTGCACTTGCCATTGCTATGACTCAAAGGGGAGCACTAGGGCTGAGCATTGATCTATGTTCAAAGGACAAATATTGATTAGTTCTTGTAACTTCTACACAAAAATTTGTGTGCCATGATTAATAATATGCCCTTTCTGAACATGGTGGCACTGGCCAAGGTCAAATATCAACCCACAAGGCTAGTAACTTCCAAAATTAGCTGGGGACAACCCCTTGCTCAAAAGTTTCAACCCATTGGATTGATCCATACAAAACTTAAACTAATGTATCATAGTCTATAACCTGTACTTTCCGGGACATGGTGGCATTAGGTCAGGTCAGAGGTCACTACATAAATCATAACCTTTAAAAGTGGACTTATTGTTGACTTATCTGCATGTACTCTTGCCTTTCAGCAAGCATGGGAAAGAAACGCTCAAGCATATCAGAGGCAGCGGAAGAAGGTCTGGATGTGTCACAGGCTGAGTCTGGTTTGTCATATGATGAGAAACTGAAATTTGTGAACCGCATCTGCAAACCAATGGCCTCAAAGAAGCTTGCCAAGAAACTGATGAAGATGATAAAGAAGGGTATGCAGTATTGTGTTGTAGTCATTTGATGGCTTTGTACTGATGTGATTAGTTGTTAGGGAGTAATTTGGTCATGGTTCAAAATGTGGAGGAATTTTCTGGGGATGGGAGATGACTTCTCAGATCATGAGTTGTTTTCCTAGTAAGGTTACATCAGCCCACTGACTGGGATCATCAGTTATATACTGAGGTGATGGCATGTGACTGTAATAGTAGCCAGCTGCTGGCCACATTGCTTTTGCAGGAATGAGTACAAACTGCTGTGTGTATAGGGTTATGGTACCTACCAAGTTTTTTGATTGTCTGTTTTTTAATGCATATCCATCATCTGATTTCACCAGGCTACTTGTGAAGTTTAAGTAAGACTTTAAGTTGAAGCTTTAAAGAATGCAAAGACATGCATCATATTTTCCCCATGGGAAAATTTTGAAGCATGTCACTCAGTGCTTTCTAGAGAACCTAATATGTGTGATGTGATAAATGAGTGAATGACTATCTGATGCACAGAAACAGAAGGATCACACCAATGTCATGTTGTTTGCAAGGATTTTGATATTGATGCATTGCTGTTGTGCACATGTGTGTTTAATGGTTTTATCCTGTGTTGTTTGTGAAATATGATTAAATCAAATCAAATGGTATATATATAGATATAGATTAGATATAGGTATAGATATAGATATAGATATAGATTAGATTATATATATATATATTATATATATATATATATATACATACATATATATATATATATATATGTTTATATGCAAGCCATACAGGGCATCTGACTGAAAAATATTTGGAAGAAGACTGCACCATCCATGCCTTGCTGGAAGTAATGCCATGAAAAGATCTTTCTTGGTTTTGTCATTTTGAGGGACTTTATTTGCATGTGACTGCATGCCTCTGCATTGCAGGCAACAAGCACAAAGGCCAAGTTCGAAATGGACTGAAGGATGTTCAAACAAGGCTCAGGAAAGGAGATACAGGGTGAGTGATGCTGGCAATGTCATGTGCTGGGTGCCATTGATTGCTCCTAGATTGCAATCTTTAGCATATTGCTTGTCATCTGTGACATGGGCATTTAAGGAAAGCTTGATGTCTGCTTCAAAATAGTGCTGTAAGTAAACCATGAATTTAGAGGGAGCCAACCAAACCAAATGCCCTCGGCAGGCTTGCAGATTAGATGTAGGACTTTTTGCGCGCAGATAGCATTATCCGATACAATTTTGTGTGCCCAGAGATCTGTCCATCTTTAAAGCCTTGGGCTCAGCAGTGGTGCGTAGGTACGCCGGTAACTGACAAAATTCCACATTATTTGTGTAGTTTCTTGTGAACTGTTATACGCATGTAACATTTGTGCACAATTCCTGAGATGACAGCAGTATTTCATAGCATTGGATATGGTGTCATGGGCCAAAAATGAAGCACAATATACAAATGTATATATGTATATATATGCATACATACATGCATACACACATAATTTTTGTGTGATCCATGTTGTGTGTATGTGTGTAGATATACAAAAAATAAGCAACTTTCCAATGCCACACAGTTGCACTGACTAAGTGGTTAGTCCCACGGCAATATGATGAGAAAGAAGCGTGAACCAGAAGTACAGGACATTTAACATACGTTAGCTACAGTGACGGTGCAGTCGGTGGACGCTCGGCACGGGGCTGGACTCTGTGGTGGTCCGCTGGCTTGTATTAGTGTGTGCCGAATAGCTTCTTGAAGCCATGAGCGGGCGGCATGGAATGAAGAGATAATGTGCAGAAAGGGTGGGGAAAGGGACTGTGCGTCTTAGATGTGCGGTCAGCTTCCCTGAACGTTGCTGAGGGTTAGTGAAGGAATAACGCTGGGTTGTGTTTTCTGTGCTGTTTTTGTTTTCTACGTCTTGCCCGGCTATAATACGATGCTGGAGTCTCATGCACGAGAGCAAGGAAAGGCAGTAATTATGCGACGCATAGGGCTGTGGATGCTTTGCACTCCCCTATTGCACTACTCCCCGAGATGCATGATCGCTGTAGAAGACCATCACCGTGAGGTGGGGAGGAATTCACCAATTTTTGTACATATCCGATTCCGCGCAATTTCACGGCAGCATAATGATTCGCACAGTTGATGTGTATGGATATATCACAGCTTTATATATATATATATATATATATATATATATATATATATATATATTATACAATGTATATATAATATATACGATATAGTATGTACGACATATTTTACTTTTGATTTTATTTTTCTTATATTGGCGCAAAGAAGGTCTTTTGGTGTAAACCAACCATCGACATTGTGCGTTATTTCTCGCCGCCAGGATCGTGGTGTTCGCCGGTGACGTCACTCCGGAGGACATCATGTGCCACCTGCCGGCGGTGTGCGAAGAGAAGTCGATTCCCTACGTGTACGTGCCCTGCAAGGAGGACATTGGCGCAGCATTGGGGCGGAAGAAGGGCTGCATTATGGCGCTGATCCAGCCGCACGACGACTACACCGACGCCTTTCAGGAGTGCTCAGAGGAGATCCATAGCCTCCCCATCCCCGTGTAGTGCGTGTCGAGGGCGTGGGGAAGGGGCGTGTGATGAAGTGCCGCCCCCTCCCCTCCGCTACCCATGACCTGAGGCAGTGTCCAGTGGGTGGTGGCTGCGGTCAAGTGACTCGTGACGGATCGGTGTAGGCGGCGGCTGTGGCAATCGGCGTTCTGTTGTGGTCTGGAACCAGCCATAGAGCACAAGGCGTCTGATTTCGTGCTGTCATAACCCCGTTGGGTCTGAAGCAGCACTGGGACCATCTCGCCACCATTTAAGTGGATAGAAAGTAATTTGAGCTATGCCCCGATTGCCGCTAACCGCAGGCTTGATGTCTCTGGAGTCTGTGTCACGTCTCGCTTTTTGACGCCAAACGGTAAAGGCGTTGTCTGAGCTCAAAACACTGAATACGGTGCCTGCTTGGATCCTTCGGAATACATGTGTTCCATTATCATTGACTCCGCTCTTGCTAGGATGTGGTGGGATTGTTGAAAGAAATAAACACTTCAGACCATCGCTCGCATGTAACGGCTCCTGTTACTTGTGAACTCGAAAAAAGCGTGCATTGGGTACGCCTTCACAAGTGGCGTGGTGTTCGTCTCATAGTTTTGAGGTCGTAGGTTCGAAGATCATTGACGGGCTACATCAATTGTCCCTTGTGCAATGCGCATGCAAGGCAGCTGTCACGCATTCGCAAACTTGCAGTTTTGTGCGCCGCGTGGAAGTCGGTCGCCAGCGCCCAGCTGTAGCAGATCGGCACCTCGACCTTCACCAGGGAGAGAGAGGCCTAAGACATACACGTTGTTTCAATAACCTTGCAAGAAGATCGATGAACTTCACAAGATGACAAACTCAGAAGCTATGCTAGCGCGTCATAAATGGTGTTTCGGGCACAATGTCGAGCGAAATGCCAGAATTGTTTTCGCGACGTGCAACTCGGATGCGGTGAGGCGGGACCGACCGTTTTTTACAGGTGCGTTTGTAAGGTAAGGTGTGTGTTTCATATCGGTGCGGTCCGAGGATTTGCTTGGGTCGCTTCACAAGCGAGGTCAGGGAATCTGGCAGCATCGGCTATGGGCTTCCATATCGACACAAATGTTGCGCACATCTGACAGAGAAAGTAGGTGAATAAAAAAAGCTGTGGTGGGATATGAGAATATCTACGCCCGGATTTTGCTGTTTGTTAATCTTTGGTGCAGCGCGTCTCAGTGCGCTTCCCCGTACCGTACGTATAATTTGCACCTGGCTCTTGTAGAGCGTGTGGATATGCATTTTGAGCTCCTGTAAATGGTAAGTTTGATTACTTAACTAATTTCCCTAGGTCAGCCCTCAATACTGGTCTGGAAAACGGGGGGGGGGGGGGGGGGTCCAGAACAAATAAACAAGTGGTCAGTCGAATTTGGCGGGGAATTCTCACATGCACTGAAATACTTTTTAAATAAGAGTTGGGTAGTGAAAGAGATTGAGGATTGTCCATGACATCTTTAGATGAAATACAGAAAACTGTTGACATGCACCCAGTTGAAGTTGAGGAAGTGCCCATACTCCTTTAATCTCTATGGTATTGGGCAAATCAATAGTTAAGTCAATAATAAATGTGTTCTGTAGTTAATATTCTTAGCCTATGATGTGTGTGATATTGTTTATATCTGCAACTATAAAAATTGATTCAAAGAGCCTGTGTTAGACCTATTCCATGTGAGGAAAAGATTGAATGTGGCAAAGGCTACTACCTATCAGTCTTAATCCAGCTTCCTTCTAAGGCAAATTGCATGTGATACATTTGTATCAAAGGTCACAACTCCCTAGCTTGCATTTCCTTTTCCTTGCCTAGCTAACTAATCTTACAAATGGTTTTTTATCAAGGTGATGCAGAATTCCAAGTGTTCTCAAGTGACTTTCAGTGCTGTTCCACTGCTGTTAGTAGTTACTATTGCTGTCTTTTTTGGCAGTAACACTTGTTATCATTTTGAATTGTCATGTAATGGTGACTTTGTTTTCAGCACCATGCCATCCAGCCATTTTGTGTGAAGCTGTGGATCTTTTGAGCCCACAACCCAGAATTGCTTCAATGGAAGAGAGAGGAAGAAAGCCTGTTATCACCTGTAAGTTAACTTGTTCTAATGTTTTGTAGTGTTGACATGGTAAGTAAGCTTTTCATTTGTAGTTCCATATCTTTTTGTTCCTGTCATTACATCATGCTTCCTGAGTAGCTAAATATACTTAACATTAGAGCATTTGTGCAGACTGGCAGCAGGTAGCTGTATTGCTTCCATGGCAAAGAGAGATACACTAGAATTATCCTTATGGCATTCTTATAAGGTTCACCAAGGATGTGTGGCATCATCATTATTAAGATGCTCTGAAGTCAAAGTGTACTATTATGCTCCAGCCTCAGGACCCAACTCAGCTGTGACATATTAGTGTCTTTGCTCATTAGATACATGCTCATACCAAGAGCACTCCAGCCTATCAGCATGTGCATATGCACAAATGCACAAGCATGCAGACTGCTTAGCACATGCATACACACATTCACGCACCACCTACCTTGTCCACATGTGCACACACCTATGCTCACCATCCCCAAGACACACATAGAGATGCTTGAGACCCTGAATCCAGTCACTGACAACCTCAGCAAACACCAGCCAGTGCAGTGTTCCACCTTGCATAACAACTGGCCTGTCCACAGACACAGGCCAGTGCGGTGGTCCACCCGGCATAACAGCTGCCTTGTTCACAGACGCCGGCGAGCCACAGGTGTTCCGCCTGCTGCAGAACAGCCTAGTGCATGGCCTGCCGCAGGAGGAGGTGGAGTGGCGGCGCAGCTACGGCCGGCCGCCGCGCCACGTCACCCTGGAGGCCACCTTCGAGCCGTGCTCAGAGGCTACGCTCACCGACGACATGAGCACCCTGGTGCGCCGGCCTTGCCTGCACACATTCTGGACCGACTGCCCGGTGAGCTTTCTCCGGCATGCTGCCTGCTGTACCATGTGGTCGGGACATTTGTGCTTTTTCAACCTTCTAATTAACATCGTGTGTTAGGATGCAGCTGTAATCAGCAAAACTGCTACAGTAATTTTAGTCAACAACATGCTTATATGTCAGCACACATAATATCAGAACAGCTTCAAAAAGAACTTTCCAGCCTGCTGTGCTTTGTCCAGGCATCACTACAAGTGATTTGCCACCAGTTCAGGTGTTAGACCCATGTGTTCATCTAACCGCGTAACCTACCTAGACTTAACTGCAATGGATGATTCTTTATGTTTAAGGTTTATTCTGAGCTTTTTATTGGATGGATTTATGAAATTACCATCCCACCAAGCTGTGGTTGTTTTGTAAGCCTTGGCGCCACCATCTGGTCCTAAAATCTCGGGGCAATGCCAGGGTTTCGTCATGAAACCGTGATGTTCCGCAACGTTTTTTACTCAATTGCGTCCTGCGATTCACTCCAATCTCCCCGGGTGAGTCGTTACACTAATAATAAGTGTGTTTCTGTGCCTCTCACTGTCTCAGCTCGTCTGTGCGTTGGGTGACGGGAGCGGACGTCGCGTATCAGCACGCCTGCCGACTGACAACTGGCCGGTCCTCAGGATAACGAGACGTACAAGTCGTCGACCCGGGACTCGCTGCAGTCGTGGTTAGCCATGCTGCGACAGCACAACGTGGTCGACTGGCTGGTGGTGGTGGTGGAGGCGGCGGACGCGCGCAGCAAGGCCAACAAGCTGCTGCCCCGCTCCTCGGTGCTGGATAAGGTCAAGGCTGACATCAACAGCAAGCACGGCGACAGGTGAGGGCCGGGCGGACGCGAGACGCGCGAGAGACGGGCTTATGGGTCAGACTGGGGGGCAGGTGGGGGGAAGAGGACGGAAGGATGGACTGACGAGAAAAGACGGGAGGTAGGACACAAGAGACAGGTGACACTCAATGGTGAAGGAGACTGGTAACGAAACATATGACAGACAGGAGGTGGATGATTTATGGGGTCGATGAGGTGGATGGGATAGGACAGCACAGACAAGCGCTGGAAGAGACGGAAGCCAGATCACAAGGGTTTGTGTTCCGAGCAGTGCTAAGAACGTACAGTGCGTTTGAAACCATCGCCTTGCATCGCAACACTCTTCCACGCATGCCCGTTGACTGGCCGTACGGCGTGCTTTCTTCGGGCCAGGTGCGTCACGCTCCTGGACCCATCCAAGACCGATGCTCGCTCCGCCGGCTCCCTGCACAACCTGCTGACGAAGCTGCGCCACTTCCTGCTGATCGGCTTCAACCGCGTGCTGGTGCGGTTCGAGGACGCCATGCGGAGCCAACGTGAGTGCCATCCCCGGCCGCTCGGCCGCCCACTGGGGCCGCGGCCGCTCCTGGGCGTCAGGCAGCGCCTGGCAGTGCGCGTGCGCTGTGGAGACGTGCGTTGCCGCATGCCTCTGTTAGGCTGGTCGAAGACTTGAAGCGATTGGAATGCTACCGAAGTGACTGAAAGAATCTTGTGGACTCCTGCACTTCTTTGTCATTTTGCCTGCAGTTAACAGCGCGTGGAGCTCTGCTCGGTTGCGATTCACGCCAACCAGACTACAGTTATGCATCAACACGTGATATATGAATTTTGATTCAGCAGATGCTCACTGGATCATAAGTGAAAAGTTTAAATTTGGCGATATCGGTTCAGAGTCTGATACGAAGATGTAGACGTTGTGGGTGGATGTGTTTGAATTGACGGCAGCTGCCTTTAGCTATGTTGCTCCGACAGCTCCGCGTGCTTTGAGCTCCCACGCCTCTGTGGCTCGTGACTAACAGCGGGCTACGGCCTCTTCCAGGTGAGAAACGGACCTCGTCCAACTGGAGCTTCGGCGCCTATTTCCCGCTGCAGGAGGAGCTGGCGTTCGTATTCCAGCAGCTGGGTCTCTGCGACGAGGCGCTGGTCCAGTACGACGAGCTGGACGCGCTCTTCACGCAGTTCATACTGAACTCCTGCGCCGGAGGTGCGTCCCCTCTGCGGAGCGAGCCACCCACCGGCTGACGCCTCACGCCGGGCGAGGCGACTGCGCCTCACGGAGCGGCTCCGGATCGGGACGACATCGGAAAGGCGGCGTCAGACGCGCGCCCGTTGCCGAGAGGTTACAGACCACATCCCCATGCATGCCCCATCGCTACATTGACTAATAGCAGATCAGGATGGGTGATGGGAGGTGGGCCCTCTTAGCCATGTCTATCGTTTGTGTCTGTTTGCCACAGACGTGCCGCCGGCTGGAGGCTGTGGCTCTCAGTGACGCATGTCATGCGCACTTGTGCGCCGCAGCCACGGGGCACTGGCTGCCTGTCCGGGCCGCATGTGCCGCTTGCGTCTGTGCACCACAACGAGCACCCTTGACGGCTGCTCCAACCGTGCGTCACGTGCCCCTGTACGCCGCAGAGACGCCCCGCTGGCTGGAGGCGTTCTCGCAGCCGGTGACGGAGTGGCACGGCCTGTCCGTCCCGGCCAGCTGCTCGGACGCCGTGCGAGACGCCATCCGCAACCAGAGCGTCTCCCTCCTGGCCTTCCGGTACGTGACCGCCAGCTGCCGGGGAGAGCGAGGGCCCGGGTGGGGACGCTCGCTGGGCTTTAGAATAACGGCGGGGCAGGTAACAAGCTAGGCGGCTCCGGCAGTCTGCGGTGTTATGGTGGCGCTGGGTTATGAAGTGTGCTCAGCATTGACCATTCGGTGTTAAGGGCTTGGTGCCGCCGCTCGTCGGTCCCGTTCTGACCGCTGTATCAGTGAGAGCGGCCCGCGGCCACGGCCGGGCGCTGCGTACAGTCGTCCCGCTGCCACTCATAAACATCTGCCCGGCCGTCGCCCGTATTGGCCTTATGATCTGTGGCTGGTTATCATGATTTGAGACCGTATGATTCCTAAGTTTTCGGTGTAAAGTCATCAAGTTCTTCATTGGCATGCTCTCATAATGATTGATCGATCTTTGAGTCCGTGGCTTTGCTGCTTCATGTTGTGTTCTGTTCTACATTGGTGTTTTTCACTTTCTTCGCCTCTCTTCCCTGTGGCGTGACGCTTAGAGCACTCGAACTCGAGCGATGCGGTCCTCTCTCCAGCCGCGCGCGTCCGGGGGCCGCGTCCCGCCGGTCAGCGCGCGGTCCCGGTGTGGCCACTACGACGGTCTGTCGCCCGGCAGGAACTACCTGTACGCGCGCCAGTGTGTGCTGCTGCAGGCGCTGGACCGCACTGCCGAGATCGCCCAGCGCACGCTCAACTTCCTCTTCAACACCATCAACGAGCTGCGCCTGATGCAGCTGGAGATACAGCCAGGTGAGCCACGGCCTCGGGCCGCTGGTGCTCCGGCAAGCTTGGCCCCTACGCTGGGTGCTGGAGGGGGGCCCGCTGATGACATTGCAGACTCGCAACAGCCTCTGTGACCTCTCAAGCTGCTCGCGCTGGTTATTTGTCAGTGGTGTGTCATCGCTTGCGGCCCGAGCTGAGCCTGCGCGCCTGCAGGTGGGCTGGCCTGCTGGGCGTTCGGCACCTGCATGAACGTGCTGGACATCTGCAGCGAGATCCCGGCGGACACGGCGGCTCAGGAGGCCGTCGGCGTCTACACCGCCAGCCTGTATGACCAGGCCCGGCTCAAGGTACAGGACGGTGGACCCGATGGCAGGTCGCGCCGCGCCCCCTGACAATGAGCGTAGCAGTGACCTTGTGTTCGCTTCGTGTCTGGGTGATCTGTCGGCCGAACGCAAAATGGCCCAGTCGCCATTTTGTTCTTTGGAGATTTAGCTATTGCCATTCGATGTACCTCAATGAACTGCATCTTGCGATGTCAAGTCAAAACTTTGGAAAAAGCTGCGTTCAAAAGATGTTCTTATTTCTTTTTAAGCAACTTTTGGTTAATGCGCCGAAACTTCAAAAGGATCCTGAACAATTTACCTGATGTCACTGAGGCCTTTTTGTCATTGGACGGCAGAAATACGTTCCCGAGGATATTCAAAGTCGGACAACCCGTGCCATGTGGCTGGAGTGGTGTCCGCTGCCGCCGCTGGCCGCTGACGCGCTGGAGTGGCAGCGGTCTTGATCACCACCAACGTGTGCCCTGGTGTTCGCCGCCACTGTTCGTCGAGCCAGCGCACTGTGGCCTGCCGGCAGCTGTACGGTCTGGGCGAGCTGTGCGGTCTGCTGCCGGGCGAGCGCTCGTCCTCGGCCCAGCTGCACCTGATGGTCACCCTGTCGGCCGGCATGGGCGACTCGCCGGCCGCTGACAAGCTCAAGGACGCCCTGTCCAGCCACGACGCCTTCCAGAACTGCTACCTGGTCAGTGGCGGCTTCGTCCTGCGGGAGGGACCCGCCTCGGCGGCCGCACGGATTCCGGCGACGGTCATTCGTAAGGTGGAGCTGTACTGAGTTCGGTGCGTGCGCGATTGTAGGTCGCGTAAAACAAAAAAGAAAAAACAGGCGCGTCGCTCAACTTTTCAAGGAATCTGTCGTGCATCCGAAATTCGTCGTCACGCGTCCTTCACGTAGACATAGACAGTCCCACCCCACTGCTGAACGTGTCGGGGATGTGGCGGCGCCGCTGAGCGCTGCGCTCGGCTGGCGGCAGGAGCTGTCGGAGCTGGCCATGGGCACGTACAAGCACATGGGCCGGCTGCGCTCGGCGCGGCTCGTGGGCCGCCAGCTGGCCACGTTCCACCTGCGGCTGGGCCAGGCGGCGCACGCCGCCTCCCTGCTGACGGACGCGCTCAAGACGTACCAGGAGGAGGGCTGGGGTCAGCTGACCGCCCAGCTGCTGCTCCAGCTGGCACAGTGCTACCAGATCATGGACGACCACCAGAGGTGAGCGCCAGCGCTGCTGCCAGATCACGCACGGGCGTGGGAGGGAAGATACTGAATGCTGATACGTGGCAGCCTCTATCGTTCCATGCAGCCGGCGCGCTGCTGGTGAGCGTGGCGCGCATCCGCCGTCCGGCGCCCTGTGACAGCTGCTGATCGGCTCGTTTCAGGTACACCCAGACGTGCGCCATGATCGCAGGGAGGGAGGATGTCACCCAGGAGGCGAGGCTGCAGTACGCCAAGCAGCTGGTGGATATAGCCTCTACCAAACAAACCCGTACGTTTCAGTCCGGTTGATCTTCACTTTTTCTTGCTCAGTCGCTTCCTATGCCACACACCGGGTTTCGGAATTTGACGCACTCATCTTACCTTGTACGCGTCCAAAGGATTTAGCGAGTGGAACAGCATCTCGTTTTCAAGATTTTCACTTCTGCAAGCATTCCTGTTAAAGCTTAACAAAGGTTGACAGTCTTTTAAATGTGCCCTTTTCAATTCTCAGGGCTTGTGTGACTCCAGCACCGTGCTCCCGCATGACACGTCGAACGGATATCCGCGTTGTATTTGGCCTGTTGTCGATTGTTGGTTTAGCTACCCGAAGCATTTCTACGTGATGCTAGTTGCTAACATACGCATTGCCAACAAAGATGTAAATGAAAGCATGTCCTATATAGGAAAGGTGTGGACAATCGTTTTATCTGATATAGATATTGTGTGCTTGAAATGTCATTTTATGGTGTTGGTTTATAGTTGCCGGGGTATGCTGTGCTGGTATAAAATATGCGGTATATTTCTGTGGCACGTTTGCTATTCGATAGCCTCTATTGACTGGTGTATTATCATAACCTTGATCCTTTAATGTCAAATCCCAAGTAAGTTCTTAGCAAGGCTGTGATAATTATCAATTAATAAAATGTCTGATTTTTTCGTACGTTTTTCACGTTGATGCTGCACGCAATTTGAAAAAGTTTCCACCTCACCATATGGCCGCGTATGCCGTTTTAAACTGTTGCAGTAACTCAATAGCTTGTCATTAGCTGCATCAATGAGCTGATATGTGGAACATTTCCTATGATCAGCGTGTGTTCCCTGAACGCCACGTGCGCCGCGACTGACGGGGCGTGCCCTGCCGCGCCAGGTGTGGTGACCTCCGGCGATGACCTGCTGCTGGTGCGGGCGGTGCGGCTGTCGGAGCCCGACCGGGAGCCGTTCCCCGGCGCTCGGGTCGAGGTCGTGCTGGACGTGAGTGACGCCGGCGGGTGGCGCTGAAGGGGGGGGGGGGGCACCACGGCGTCCGCTGCAGCCACTTAGTGATAAGGAAATGGACAGCTAGGGCGACTGTCGGCTCAACGGACGTCGCGGACGCCCCCGCCCCCTTCCCCTCCCCTCCTCCTTCGAGACCGGTGTTGCCAGATCACGTGTTTCCGATCTGAAGCGTGTATTAATCTGAACAAGGATTGTCTGCAGGACATGTCGGGCCTAGTGTCAGCATCCATGGCTTTCCATTTAAACCAATTAATTGGATACAGGCTTGAGGCCCCAGACTTAAGTTACTTCATTATGCTTGCGGTCCTAGTTATATGCATGGCAGCCGAGACGCCAATTGGATTAATTTAGATATACGGTGGGTGAGCGCAATCAGACAGCATACGTGACTGTGTTTGTAATACCGCCTGACCTGAGTCTGCTACGCGGGTTGTGTAATAATGCCGTGTTTGGTAAGGCCGCTGTGTTTGTGTGGATGTACACGTTTGTGCACCGTGGACGGGTGGTGTACACGCGTGCGTACGTACGTGCGTGCGTGCGTGCGTGCGTGCGTGCGTGCGTGCGCGTCACCTGACGGCCGCCGGCTGCAGGTGGAGAGCCGCCTGCCGGTGCCGCTGCGGCTGCAGTCGTGCCGGGCCGACGTCCAGCTGGCCGAGCCGCCCGAGCAACTGAGCAGGAACACCAGCTCGGCCAGCACGTCCAGCTCCGGGTCAGTGTCGGCGCCCCGCACGCCGGCCAGCGCTGACCGCCTGGGGCTGCGGTCAGCCAGCGCCGCCTGCACCAGACGCCAGCCGTGCGAGTTGCTGGCGTCGGCAGTCCATAGCATGTTGGAGACCGTTCGAGAACTTTTAATGCATCGCGTGGTGTGCATTGTTTTGATTATGACGCTCTGAACATATTCTGCTGTTAGTGTCGTGTCGGACGAATGTTGCAATGTGCCATTGGCTAGCGAAAAGAAACTTGTATGCATGCAAGTGCCTATATAAAGTATGTAATATTTAAAGATGCTTGCTCAACTAACGGATTTTAACTGCTTACCTGGCAAGATTTTGTCGTCTGTAGAATGTTTGTCCGCACCGATATCCGTGAAGGGCGTCCTTTGAAAGATCTGTAGACGTCACATTAGTGATAGGTTTTATGGGTCAAAATGCGTGCCCCAATGAGACGTCCTTAAGCCTGAAATCGGGAAAGTCAGCGTCACGGACATTGTGAAAACATTCAGCTTGAAACGTTCACCACGTGGGAAGAAGGTGACAAGGGTCAAAAGCGCTGTAGCATGCAACGCTCGTGTAGTAATATAGCGTAGCTAAAGCGAAAATGCTGCGTAGGAGCACTGAATGGAAGCCATTATCGCCATGAAAGATAACAGGAAAAAAAAAACGCTTGGAACGTACAGCTGAGTAAGCAGCTATATGCTGCCAGGACAATTTGCGACACCCTCGGTGTTCGCACACGTGAAGGTCTGAAAATACGTCACGGATTCAAAATTTCCGTATGAGGCGTGACGCTAGGGCCACAGCGTGCAGCACGAGTCTGTTTCGTACGTGCATCTCTGCCGTCCACCGGAGCGGTGTGTCACGTGTCTGTCGCGCCGTCCAGGTCTTCGCCGTGACGCGGTGTGCGACCTCGTCTGACCTGTCCAGGTCATCCCTCCGTGACCCGGCGTGTGACCTCATCTGACCTGTCCAGGTCATCCCTCCGTGACGCGGTGCATGACCTCGCCTGACCTGTCCAGGTCATCTTGTCATGACGCAGTGTGTGACCTCGTATGGCCTGTCCGGGTCATCCCTCCGTGACGCGGTGGGTGACCTCGTCTGACCTGTCCAGATCATCTTGTTATGACTCAGTGTGTGACCTCGCCTGACCTGTCCAGGTCATCTTGTCATGACTCGGTGTGTTACCTCGTCTGACCTGTCCAGGTCATCCCTCCGTGACGCGATCCATGACCTCGTCTGACCTGTCCAGGTCATCCCTCCGTGACGCGGTGCAGGACCTCGCCGGACCTGTCCTGGTCATCTTGTCGTGACGCGGTGTGTGACCTCATATGTCCCGTCCAGGTCATCCCGCCGTGACACCGGCCAGCGGCCCGACTCACCTGCCGCCCTGCTAGGGCCGGCCGACGACCGGCTCCAGCTGGAGGAGAACATCGAGTACAAACAGGACAAGAGTCTCAGCGCCGCCACGCTCATCTGCCGCAACATGCTCCGGGTGCTGAGGTGGGCCATGCGTGCGCCGGCGGCGGCCTCATCACGTTCGTATGTTATCCTGGGTGAGCTCGCACCGTCCCGTGGCAGGTGCGACGTGTGTGACACTGCAGCCGCCTGTCCGTCACACTGCACTGACGTCTCCATTCGGCATGCCATCCACTCCAGAGTTACCCGAATGAGCAATTGTCTAAAATGGCTACTCACTCGTCATATTTGCTCTTCGCTTTGCTATGTGAGTTCCTTCCAGCGCCATTCTCGTGGTGTCAGTAAAAAAATACTCGGGCGAGCCGTGGTCTCGTGGTCAGGGTGTGCACGTGGGTCCGCCCGGCTGCGCAGACGCTGGAGGGTTACGTGAGCCCGCCCAGCGGACGCTCCTGGACAGACGGAAGGTGGGTGGTTACGTGAGCCCTCTGAGCAGACGTTCCTGGGCAGACGGGAGCACGTCAGAGGAGCCCGCTCGGCCGTGTGACTGGGGACCGGACGGATTGTGTGCCCTGCAGACGCAAGGACAGCCAGCCGAGCGTAGGCCGCCGCGGCCAGCTGCCGGCCGGCGCGTTCGACGTGAGCCTGGAGCAGCGGGACGTCACCCTCCAGCCGGGCACCAACCGGCTGACGCTGGCCGGGCAGGTGAGAGCCGGGCCGCCGCTCGGAGGATTGCACCGTCCGGGAGGCCGCCGCTCAGAGTGCTGCACCGTCCGGGAGGGCCGCTGCTCAAAGTGCTGCACCGTCCGGTAGGCCGCTGCTCAGAGGGCTGCACCGTCCGGTAGGCCGCTGCTCAAAGTGCTGCACCGTCCGGTAGGCCGCTGCTCAGAGGGCTGCACCGTCCGGGAGGCCGCTGCTCAAAGTGCTGCACCGTCCGGTAGGCCGCTGCTCAGAGGGCTGCACCGTCCGTTAGGTCGCCGCTCAGAGTGCTGCACCGTCCGGGAGGCCGCCGCTCAGGCGCTGGCGCTGCTGGCAGCAGGCGCTGCTGATCTCGCTGCCGCGATGATCGGCCCGTGACGTCACTCGACGCCCTGCGGCCGGCGGTGTCACCGGCTGTGTGGCCGGTGTTGTGGCCGACCATATGGCCGGCTGTATGGCTGGTGTTGTGGCCGGCCGTGTGGCCGGCTAGTGTGGCCGGCGGTGTGGCCGGTATTGTGACCGGCTGTATGGCTGGTGTTGTGGCCGGCGGTGTGGCCGGCGGTGTGGCCGGTGTTGTGGCCGACCATATGGCCGGCTGTATGGCTGGTGTTGTGGCCGGCCGTGTGGCCGGCCGTGTGGCCGGTGTTGTGGCCGGCCGTGTGGCGACCTGCCGTCGGAGCGTGCTGTAACGCCGGCCGGACGCCGCCCCCAGATGGAGAGCCCGGGCTCGTTCGTGGTGCAGCACCTGCAGTTCCGCTGCACTTCCCTCGACCTGATGGTGGAGCTGGATCGCGCGCTCCGGTTCACCGTCAAGTCGTCGCCGCACAAGGTCGGGTCATGCTTCCTGGTAGCTGGCTGTTCGGCGGCCGCCCTAGTTACCGCTCCTCTATTTATGTAATATTTGTACATAAGTTAGAGTCCGAGGGATGACATGGAGGAAAATGATAGACGAGGAAGGCTGGACCCAACCGGGACCGGTCTAAAAGTTTCTGCGAGCTGGTTTAGACATATCCCATTGATGTAAACAGGCTGCCACCATGTCTTGAGTGCGTTGGGGGAGGGGCGGGGGCAGCATCAGATCTGCATGGCTCTTCAGACATTTCTCAGCTTGTAAGACTGCATCAGAATGTGCACTCATTGTCTTGCAGACTCAATGCGAACTAGAAGCCAAACCGTTACTTGAGCCCGGAGAAGGGGAGCTGACGGGAGCTACGAACCCGGTTGGCCTCCTTACCACGTCAGTTGTTACCCGAGCTGTCGTTTGAGGGGCTGAGCTGTATTGCTGCGCTGCCCGTCCACCTGCCGCTGGCGCCACCTGTCGGCGCCGTCTGTTGGCGCTCTGACGCACCTCCCACGCACGGGACGCGCCGACACGCTCCTCCCCGCACGGGGCGCCGGCAGGTGTCGCTGAACAAGGCCGAGCCCGACCTGCTGGCCGGAACCGTGCAGCAGATGACCGTGGCCGTGGCGTGCGGCAGCGAGCCCATGACCCAGGTGAGCAATGCCGGCTGGGTCACGTGTCCCACCTGGCGTAGCTGGACGGACGGCCGTCGGGACGTGTTTGGGGCCACTGTCCGCCGTCAGAAATGTTGCCATTGGCTGGTTGAGAGTTTGCGTTTACTTTTACGTACACAGGATAGGTTAACCGACTGACGCATGCTCCCAGTTCTCAGAAAGCTGTACCTCGTGCGGAGTAGGACGCATATTTTGTCTACGGGTGCTGTTGTCTCCATGCGTTATAGTGAGGGCGACCCTCAGCGGTATATTTCTTCGACCAGTGGTCGGGCGCCCGCTGTCCCTACGCGACGGTGCTGCCCGTGTGTGTGGGCTGACCGGGGCTGGGTCACCAGGCGAGCCGGCTGCGGCTGCAGTGCTCCCGCGGCCTGACCGTGCGCCGCTCGGACACTACGGCCGACCAGTGGGTGGAGCAGCTGGAGCTGCCGCTGCCGCCGCTGGCCGCCTTCCAGACCGTCACGCTGCCTGTGTCGGTGCTCTCCCAGCTGGCGCACGTCAAGGACGGCGTCAGTCTGCTGCACAAGGTCAGCAGACGGCGGCGGCGCACCGCCCGCACGCGGATCCGCTGCGAGATCTCGCAATGAATGATGATGCCCCGTCGTGAGGTGGTGCGGGAGATACTGGGATCTTTTGTCGAAACGTGTACTTTTTATAACAAAAGGACAGCGTGAAACGTGATGTGAATGCTGATGTGGTTTTCAGGTGAACATCTTCTGTCCCTGGAGTTCGCTACCGGTGGAAGCGGAGCTCTACTTCCTGCTGCCCTTCTCCGTCAATTTCAGGCTGCACACGGCCCAAGTCAGGAAGTTTGTTCAGGTGAGATGCCTGGCCAAGCAGGCGCCTTCCTACCCGCAGTGTATGTGCGTGATAGCCGCCTTCGGCCGCCAACGCCGCGCGAACGGTGAAGGGCGCTTGGTGGGCCGGCGGCCGCGGATCGGCCGGAGGCTGCTGACTTCTGGCCGCGACGACCGCATAGTACCAGCGCCCGGCAGTCGGGGACAGACTGGGGAATTAGGGTAGGAACTTACGCACTGCAGAAAGGTCTCCCAGTTGTCCGATGGCCCCTGTCTGTTCACGGATCATGTTTGCACCGCTTGGGATATCAAGAACTGGGGCTATCTAGTTTTGCCGTCCTGCGTCGTATTTTTTTGTTCGGTTTCACTCACAGGGTGCTGTGAGCGCTGTGTAGAGTGATCCGCCGATGGCGGGCTTTGATCGGTGGCTGGGTGGGCCAGCACGGTGACCGCTGACCTGACCCGAGCCGCCGCCGCCACCGCCGCCGCCAGGTGATGATGCACGGCCTGAACACGACGGCGTTCGAGCTGACGCAGCCGAGCGCTGTCGTCATCAACGACGCCCCAGTCACGCTCACCTCCCTCAACGCCAACGCGGAGAGCGTGGTGAGTTACACCCGCTTCCGGAGGATTGTGGGGCGCAGACATATTTCCAGCTGCATTTTCAGTACACTTTTATCCCACGCAGCAATTTTTCAACAGCCGTCAATAGCCGCAATCATTATTTTAATAGCCGTCCGTCCGTCCGTCCGTCTGTCCGTCCGGATAGGTCAGTGGGTTAGAGCGAGCGTTCCGATCCACCCACCCTGGTTGAGTTGGGATGGTTTAAGGTATTCGCTGTTTGCCCTTGACTGCTGCTGCCACTGACCGCAGTCAGTGGCAGCAGCAGTACTAGTGCTAGTGCAGCAGTACAGCAGTGCTTAGTGCTTAGGATTTTGTGACGCCATAGGGCAATGCGAACCTTACCAAACATTGCGGTACGTTAAACTTATAATTGTGTATATAATAAACATCATATTCTGCCGTTGACCCGACATTTCACGATTGGATGATGGCCAGGGCTCGCGCAACGAGCACTGCTTAGTGTGCCTCGCATCCCAAAAATATTTCCATTCAAAACGTTCGAACCGAGTCTTTAAACATGGACATTTTTGAGCATAGACATATCATACGGTAATGTGCTGGTGAGGGCTGCTTGCAACCGGCTGACGTCGAAATCTCGAGCAGGTGAAACCGGCCGAATAGAACCAAGCGTCTAACTGGGTCACATCACACAAAGCCCCCTATGTCACCAATCCAGGTCTTCCGCGGCAGATGGAGCGGCTTGATGCGGTGTGACATTGAGCGACCGGTGTATGCTGCAGGTAGTGTGTAGTGACCGGAGCGTCTCCTACGTCTGGCAGATGGAGCGGCTGTGTGTGGTGTGAGGCTGAGCGACCGGTGTCTGCTGCAGGTGGTGTGCAGTGACCGGAGCGTCTCCTACCTCTGGGAGATTGAGCGGCTGTGTGTGGTGTGAGGCTGAGTGACCGGTGTCCGCTGCAGGTGGTGTGCAGTGACCGGAGCGTCTCCTACCTCTGGGAGATTGAGCGGCTGTGTGTGGTGTGAGGCTGAGCGGCCGGCGTCTGCTGCAGATGGTGTGCAGTGACCGTAGCGTCTCCTACCTCTGAGAGGTGGAGCGGCTGGGTGTGGTGTGAGGCTGAGCGACCGGTGTCTGCTGCAGGTGGTGTGCAGTGACCGGAGCGTCTCCTACCTCTGGGAGATGGGCCTGGACGAGGCCACGCCGCCCGTTCGCGCCCAGTTCTGCGTCGACTACCGCGCCGTGGACGCCGACTCCAAGCAGCGCTTCAAGTTCGACTTCACCGTCGCCGACTACAGGGTCAGTCGGCGCCGGCACGAGCTGGCGGCCTGCGGTCGAGCCGAGGGGCTTCTGGGCGCGGCCCCGGTGATCTCTGCGGCTCCGGCGCGCGGCGTCCAGACAGTCCGTACCACCCGTGCGGCCGGCGACAGCGCGGTGGCAGCGTTCCAATATTCGGCCCCTTGGATGGCATAGATGTCGATATTTTTCATGCTATTACACCCCGGATTGGGGCTCAGAGCCTGTCGCCTCTGCCCTTGCTCAAAATCGGCCAATCAGCATCGAACGAGGCTGCTGTTAGCCCAGTATCCAAGCGCCTCAAGCTTGACAAATGGTCTGGACAGGTCAGATGTCCGGGTCCGGGGTCAAAGGGCGACGGATTAGCGCCTGCCAATGGCGTGCGGGGTCGCCGGAGAGCCAAGATTCTGGTATGATGAGTTTGTATTTACATCCTGCACAACATACGAGATGAATTTTGGAACGCTGGCGTGATGAGCCGCCCTCCGAGTGGTTCTGGCTCGGGGCTGTTGAGCGAGACGGACGAGGCTGCGCAGGGCTCAGCCTGAGATAGGACCGACAGCTCGTTTGAAAAGGATGTAGAAACAGGTCAATGTGTGGTCAAAGGTTGAATGTACGTATATGTTCATGTAACGCTGCGAATCCCGTGATCAACGCAACAGTAAGTATTTTGTATGTAAATGGTTCGCTGCCTTGGCTGGGTTCGTGCGTCGTCGGAGAATTAAACTAATCTGTCGTCACCCTCAATGGATCGGTACAGTCCTGTGCTATCTTCTAGACACTGGTGTCATGGGCACTGCAGTGCTCAATGCAAACTGTGCAAAAAGCACCCTAGAATGCCAGCTGAAATTACCAGACGCTGCTGTCCTCTTCCTGACGTAGCTTGCTGTTGGTTAGACTGTGGGGACGTTTGGGTCTGCTCGGAGCTGTCGTTCGTTGATGGCAGCTGACGGCTGGCGCGCGCCCGTGCCGCAGACGCTGTTCAGCGTGACGTGCCGTATGGAGCCGCTGAAGGGGGCCGAGTTCTGCCGGTCCGGCTCCATCTGCCAGCTGCACGTGACCGTGACGCAGGAGGACAGCTGCGCCGACCTGCGCGCCGTCATGTACGAGGTGCTGGCCGACCAGAACATGTGGGCCGTCTGCGGACGCAGCTCAGGTCAGTGGGCTGCCCGCGCTGTGTCGTGACCTGGTATGACCTAGACAGCCCCGGCCGGGAGCTTGTGAAATACGTGCGAGGCTGGTGCGCGCGCCTGTCATGGATTCGAGCGTTCGCACCTGTGTTGTGATTTGTTTGACGTCGGTGCACTGGAAAAGGTGTGCTAACATTACTTTGAGGTGGACACTTGATTTGGCGCTTTCGTGACCTTGCATCACTGTAAGAAGGAAATTCTACCAATCATTTGGATGCGTAATGTGAGTGCACTTGAGCACTATCTTAATGCACTCCGCGTAAAATGACTAACCCAGGACCTGTGAAGGTCCCCCCCCCCCCCCCCCTCCTCAAGTGATAGGAAAAGGCAGTCTTGACCTTTGACGGCTCGGATTCCTGGACCAGGATTTAAGGCATCTGGCCGCTGTCTGCCTATCCGAAGAGAAGGATCACATTGACAGCCTGTGGGAGAGCAGCGACCCACGCCGCCTCGCTGCGCGGTTAGCGCCTCCTGTGTGGCCGACGCTCACCCTCTCCGTGACAGGTGTGCTGAACATGGGCCCGGACACGCGCCACTCGCTGCAGCTGGAGGTGATGCCGCTGACGGGCGGCTTCCTGCCGCTGCCGACCGTCCGGCTCAGCCGGTACATACCGGCCAACAAAGGTGCGCCCCCGCTGCCCGCCTGCCGACCAGGCCGGACGCCGAGTACACAGCTGCTGCTGCTGCTGCTGCTGCTGTTCGCTCGAAATGTCTTAAAGTCCACCCGCTCTGGCTGTGTGACGATTGAAGTGAAGCTTGCCATTAGTTGATTGATAGAAATTAAATTGAAGCGGCGCCGCCACGGTTCCGGGCAGCGCTGCCACGGCTGTCCTGAGTGACGCTGTCGCCGCCTCCCGGGCTGATCTGGCCCGGTGTCTCCAGTCTGATCTGTCCTGCGTCCGTGCTCTGATCTTCCGCGGCGTCCCCGGTCTGATCTGCCCTGCGTCCGGGCTCTGGTCTTCCGCGGTGTCCCTGGTCTGATCTGCCCTGCGTCCGTGCCCTGATCTTCCGCGGCGTTCCTGCTCTGATCTTCCACGGTGTCCCTGGTCCGATCTGCTGCTGCGTCCCTGCTCTGACCTTCCGCGGTGTCCCTGGTCCGTTCCGCTGCTGCGTCCCTACTCTGATCTTCCACGGCGTCCCCGAGTTGCGTGACCGCCGTGGGTCACGTCTCCCTACCATTATGTGACTCACCTTCCGTATAAACATATGACATGTGCGACACAGTAAATAACACATTCCATTACGTATTCAGTATGGCATGCATTAGCGTGCATACATATAGAATGTCTGACACCTGTCACACAGCAAGAGCAGGAATCTGTGCAGCGCATGAGGACTGTGACATTGTGCCACATTGACACACATCTTGCAATATCTCGGGCTTAGGAACCGGTGCGTAAAATTTGGGTGAAGTGTGGCAGAAATACTGGAAAGTAAATTTGCAATTATTTTCTCACCTGCCAAAATTCACTGCGACGGCCCCGTGTCCGCGTTCTTAGTCTGTGACAAGCTCCAGAAAGTAACAGCTATCATCCACCCCTGCTGACGATAAATGTCCACTGCTTGGCCGGCTGTTTTGCATGCACTGTTTCGTGGCTGCAGTGCCGCTACCCCCCCCCCCCTCCATGGGTGATACAAAAACGACAGTAAACCCCCGTGGCGTGAGCGTGGATGCAGACGTCCGGGCCCCGCCCTGGTCCTCCACTAAGCGCGCCGCTGGCCCCGGTCTTGTGCTGGGTGCGGGCCGGCTTTGGTCCGCAGCTGTGTGCCACTCGGATTCAGCCGTTTTTTTGCCGTCTTGTCGTTTTTTTGTTGTTTTGTCGTTTTTTGTCGGTCGTCTGCGACGACCGCGCCCGTCTGCTGTGTGCCAGCCCTGACCGTGGCCGTCTGCTGTGTGTCACTCCTGACCGTTGCCGTCTGCTGTGTGTCACCCCCGACCGTTGCCGTCTGCTGTGTGTCACCCCTGACCGTGCTCGTCTGCTGTGTGTTGCCTCTGACCGTTGCCGCCTGCTGTGTGTCACCTCTGCCCGTGTCTGTCTGCCGTGTTCGCCCCCCCCCCCCCTGACCGTGTCCGTCTGCTGTGTGTCACCTCTGACCGTGTCCGTCTGCTGTGCGTCACCTCTGACCGTGTCCGTCTGCTGTGTGTCACCCCTGATCTCTGCCGTCTGCTGTGTGTCACCCCTGACCGTGCTCGCCTGCTGTGTGTTGCCTCTGACCGTTGCCGTCTGCCTGTGCGTCACCTCTGACCGTGTCCGTCTGCTGTGTCACCTCTGACCGTGTCCGTCTGCTGTGTGTCACTTCTGACTGTGTCCGTCTGCTGTGTGTCATCTCTGACCGTGTCCGTCTGCTGTGTCATCTCTGACCGTGTCCGTCTGCTGTGTCACCTCTGACCGTGTCCGTCTGCTGTGTGTCACCTCTGACCGTGTCCGTCTGCTGTGTGTCATCCCTGACCGTGTCCGTCTGCTGTGTCATCTCTGACCGTGTCCGTCTGCTGTGTCACCTCTGACCGTGTCCGTCTGCTGTGTGTCACCTCTGACCGTGTCCGTCTGCTGTGTGCGACAGAGCCGGCCAACCGCCTGCTGAACGCCGGGTCTGGTCTGCCGAGGCTGGAGCCGTTCGCGGTGGGCCAGGTGTACAGCGCCTCGCGCGGACAGCAGGTGCACGTGCTGGCGGCGACGGCGCCCGGTCCGGCCTCCTCCGCCACAGACAGCTCGCTGACCTAGAACAGCGACGGACGGGCTCCGTCCAGGGCGGCTGCTGTTGGAATCTGAGCCCCTCGGCAGCCTCAGGTGCTGGTTTGGGAGACCGGCCGGCTGGTTTGGGGGGCCGGCTCCGTCCAGGGCGGCTGCTGTTGGAATCCGAGCCCCTCGGCAGCCTCAGGTGCTGGTTTGGGAGACCGGTCGGCTGGTTTGGGGGGCCGGCTCCGTCCAGGGCGGCTGCTGTTGGAATCCGAGCCCCTCGGCAGCCTCAGGTGCTGGTTTGGGAGACCGGCCGGCTGGTTTGGGGGGCCGGCTCCGTCCAGGGCGGCTGCTGTTGGAATCCGAGCCCCTCGACAGCCTCAAGTGCGGGTTTGGGAGACCGGTCGGCTGGTTTGGGAGGCCGGCTCCGTCCAGGGCGGCCGCTGTTGGAATCCGAGCCCCTCGGCAGCCTCAGGAGCTGGTTTGGGAGACAGGCGTCGGGAATCCTGTCATCATTCTGTTTAGTCTGGCTGGGAATCTCGTCGGGCCCCCTTTGGCACGTGCCGAGTTACGGAAAACCTTCTAAACGAGAGCCGTATAGTATTCGTCGATATATGTAAGATATACATGGTATTCTAAATCCATGGATGTACCGCCGCGCTACAGCTGACGGTAAAGTGGCTCTCAGCTTGCGTTGTTACTGTGTGGGAATGCCAAGTCCTTTTCGTGTATGTCGTGAAATCTATGAATTTCGTCGATCGCGGCAGGCACTTGTAGCGTAAAAGAATGCTGCTTTGATGTTTCGTTTACTGTTATCGTCCATCTTAAGTGCTTTTGCGCGAAGTTTTGGGAAATACAACGTGGTAAGTGACTTTTTAACAGTCACGTTTTGCAACTCCGGGTGTATTTCCGTCGTTTATTGCTCAGCTGATTGTTGGAGGTCGCTGACTGACTTAAGCTAGAAGTATGTCGCAAGTTTCTTTTTTGTATTGAGATGGTCGGAAAAGGTGTCTGACGTCATGTTTCTTGTGCTTCCATTGCTGTTACTTGTGAAGGCATCGCCCAAACTATTTTGTGCTGCTGCCTGTGGGATGTTCCATCGTGCGCGGGCTGCCATTTTGTGAACATGAGCATGCACAAAACCTTGGCGTGCGCCTCATCGGGTGGTGGTGTGTCCTAGTTGTCTCCGACAGTTGTATCCGGGGTAATGGGGTCTCGAAGCAAAGTTTCGAGACGCTTTAATCGGGCCTGTGATCTGTTGTCTCGCCTGCCTTCTGCGGGGATGAGGGTGTCGTTTTCGTATTCCAGTGGGTGACAGTCTGGTCACCGATAGTTGATATGATTGCGCAACTATCAGTGAAACGAGAGGTATACAGCGTTGGCCAATATATTTATATATGTCTTGTATGTCCCTAAAACTAGAATAGGCCAGAACACAAGGAGCACACTAGCGCACCAAGCGCACTATAGTGGGCTCCTTCTGCAGCAATCTCCATGTAGCAGAAGGTAGGCATACACTGTTGTGACCGCTATGCACGGATTTGCTATAACGGGATGTATAGAACGTTGAGATCTTCGGCTGTCGCGAGTTTATGCTGCTACAATATGCAAGCCTGCCTAGCTGTTCACTCTGATGCGGTCTTGTGTTTATTTGGTATGCCACGGCTGTGTGCACGAAGAAAGATGCGCCGCCAGACTGCTACCGCTGTTCATTGGTACTGAAACAAGCGTGCGCGAGGCGGCAGGTCAGGGCTGAGCTTTGATGCCTCAGTCTGTGACCGATAATATATCAACTTTGGTATTTTTGTCCATTTCATGGGGTGGCAAGAAAACAGCGCCTGCGGTCTTTCGCACAGTGCTGCGATGACGCTGAACTAGCCAGCACATGATACTTTCCATACACATTGTGGCGTATATGCACGCAAACAAACGCGAGGTTAGTCTTAATCATATGGCTCATCTTGTCACCGTGACATTTTCTCAGCATTCTGATGTCACGTGCGACCTCAACGCTAGCCAGCAGTTGGGCATTTACTCGGCGTTTCATTTAATCTTGTTTTAGTGGTTCAGATTGCATGATTCAGGGCTGGGTCGTCAGCGCGTCGGTACCACGTCATGCGTCGCATGTTGCCATGCCCCGGCGTGTGTGACTAGGTTGAGCAGCTCTAACGTGCTGAGCCTGACCCAACCACCCATCAGCTCGAGCGTGGCGTGGCCCGACCACGAACATGGCCCGACCACCCACCAGCCCGAGCGTAACGTGGCCCGACCAGAACCCTAGCTCGACCACCCACCAGCTCGGGCGTGACGTGGCCCGACCACGAGCCTGACCCGACCACCCAGCAGCCCGAGCGTGGCGTGGCCCGACCACCCACCAGCCCGAGCGTGACGTGGCCTGACTATGGCCCCGGCCCGACCACGCACCAGCCCGAGCGTAACGTGGCCCGACCAGAACCCTAGCCCGACCACCCACCAGCTTGAGGCGTGACGTGGCCCGACCGCGAGCCTGGCCCGACCACCCACCATCTCGAGCGTGGCGTGGCCCGACCACAACCCTAGCCCGACCACCCACCAGATCGAGCGCGGCGTGGCCCGACCACAACCCTAGCCCGACCACCCACCAGATCGAGCGCGGCGTGGCCGTATGTCACGGAAGGCTGGCGCTCGCGTGACACTGGTGCCGGCTGCCCTCACGTCTCGGCGCTCAACAGAGCAGATGGGAAGCAATGTTTCGTATTCGGGACTTCTCTCATGCTGCCACTGTCGCAGTTCAGTGGCTTTAGTCTGGCTCTCAGTAATGACATGTCCGAAGATTAGAGAGTCCCTCAGGCGTGACGTCCATTGCCCGGAAACGCCATCGAAACATGTAAACATATATTCAAAACCTACAAAAGAGCATCAGCCCGGATATGGAAACTTCAACGCACGTCGCGCACGGTACATCCAGCATACAAAGCCTCACCTCCCACTTCACTCCAGACGACTCAGCGCGCGCATTTGGTATGTCACCGGCCAGCCTGTTCGCGCAGCCTCCGCCCGGGATACGCCTACGAGCGGAGAGCTCCTACGCACGCGGGTACCGGCGTCGCACGCACGACAATACACCAGCAGCCCGACACGGAGCAAGTGCCTCTTTCGCAGGGTCTTATTCTTATCACCGCTGCGGATCCCACCACCGTCCCTCACTTGCATAAACCACCCCACCGCGGACACGGGGCAGACCCATCGTCGTGCATGCAGCCCATCCTTGGCATCACACGGAACGTCCTTATTCCGTGGCACTCCTGTTCGCGTGGTCAGATTCGACCGAGCACACATAGACATTCACATCCCCGCGCGCGCACACAAGCCCGAGTTCTATCGTCCGCGCCCCTGTGCGCCATTTTCAGACACTTTAACCATAACACAGCCGATCAGCACGTCCAATCCGCAAAATATTCCGTTATTCCGCGTCCACCCCGTGTTTCACTTCCGGACAGCGCGGCGTGACCACACCTGGCAACTTGGGTTGTTAACATCTGGCAACTCATGGTCTTCATCCGCAGCAGCACACATTAATGATAGGTCACACTGTGGGAACAATTGCAATCCTTCAACACTGCGTCTGCTGGTGGAAAATTAATCGGACCGTGCGTTCCAACGTTCGGGCTGTGTGGATATGGCTCCACATTACACGGGAATAATTTGTGGTGTCTGTTGCAAAGTCACGAGTGAATCATACGCTATCATCAAGGGTTATTTCCTTGAATAGGCTTTATCTGACGCCAAAAAAACGGATGAACATTGCATACAATCCTTGCGTAAGTCACGGGGAACATCCAACCGCACACTGGTCGCATCATGGTCACCAAACCGGCCGTGCAGTTTCTGGCCGACCAGCATGCTGTGCTGGAGGCAAAAAGACAGGGTAAGATTGCTCCAACGATTCGCTTCTGTGGTGGCAAAGGTGACGTGTGGTCCCGGACAATCATTTCTTTCACTGGTCAAAAGAGCGTAAGATGTCTAATCTTGGTACCATGCGCCACCACCTAAACGCTACCGCCCGTGTGGTGCCGTAGTGCATATTTATCAGGGAAGCCTAAAAGACGACTCAGGTTACTCCACATGTCATGTTCATTGCATATAACGACGTAGTGTTAAAGTTAACACATATGACCACAAAGCATGAAATACACGTGAGCGTGTTTCTGCTCTAGAACACAAACACGCTTCAAATGTATGAGTTCGAAATGCATGCCCTCGCAGAGGCATGATAATTGTGACTTGATTATATGCGTACCGTTCCTGTCAAAACGTGAAAGAACCCAAAGGCTTATTATGCAGTTGCCTGGAATTTCCTACCGCTCAGCAGCCTTCTCAAGAAGAAGGAAGGAAGGGGGGAGGGGGGAGAGGACTTTCCGAGGCTGAGACGGGAAGTAGGTTTGTTCTCGATGGTGTAATGATTCAGAATTAGCCCATTTTCTATCATTTTATGGAACGGGCGGGGAGTGTGAGGGTCAGGAGAGTCTTTTCTAATTATTCACGGAGAGCTTTTTGATTGAATGGATTTTTTGATTCAGCGCCCACGCTAAACAGTGCTTGTTGCCTGAGTTCTGATCTCGCGATCCAAGTGTGAAATTGAAAGATCAGCAACATAATTTTGCGGCGAAAGACAACCTCTCGTAAAGCTCTGCACTGCCCATCCGACCCGCTGATATCACCTGACGTTTAGTGTGACCGCTGGCAGCGGCCGCAGGCTCTTCCAATCTGGGGCAAATAGCGAGCGACTGAAGCGCGACCACGATTATATAAGCTTGCACCTCTGTCGGCCCGGCTTGGCGCTTATCAATCTTAACTGATTGGTTTTCGAGGTTTACACCGCAACACTGGGCTAACGCTGAGTCACGCGCCGGGCACAGGTCTGCAGGGAAACTCCAATCCAAGGACAGGCAATAAAATGGGGCGCACCCCTTCACAGAGGTTACCAGGGTCTGTCCGAGTCCTTGCCACTGCTGACATACCGTGCAATTCCATGTGCAAACTCGGAATGGTCACATGTTGACGACAGGTCACACAGAGCCGAAGGGGCGTCAATACAGGAGTCATCAGAGATGAGACAGGAATTCTGGGCTGAGAGCGGAGGCTGTTTCGTCAGACCTCACCTTGCCGATTCGAGCAGCTGACCAATCCCTGGTTCTGATGGCAATGTGGTCGCCTCAGTCGAGAACTCCGGCGACAGACACACTGTGCGCCAAAGGAGCTAGAATCAACCGTTTAGTTCCAATAGTAAACTTGTCCAATAGTACACCCGCGGGGGTGAAAGTACATTGGATTGTTGGATGCAGCTCCAAAATGTGGGAGTAGATGTAGGGAGGACTAGCTGTTAGTAGTGTAGGAGTACGTTGAATAGCCTTGGGAGTAGTTACAAACATCTTAAGTCCGGGACTTTGGTACAGCCGACTAAAATTCGGAAAATCGGCTCGAGGTCTTCTGCCTCGATACCAACCCTGACATCGCAAGCACCACTGGACGACGCTGAAGGGAATCACAGCCCTGCCCTCCTTAAGACTTCACCCTCCCCCCTCCAGTTTTTGAGCTACATGTCCGCGAAAATGGGGAAAGGCAAATCGGAGAAAGTATTTCAAAGTCGCCCTGGCATTCATGACGTAATAACGTCATTGAAATCTTGTCACTTCACTAGCTGTGCAGCGACCAGGGCCAAACAAAATATGACTTTTGAGTTGTTCATATCTGGCATTCGTGAGCACTATTTCCAGATTTAACGCATGTCAGTTGGCTCTCAATCAATGTTGTGCAAGGTACGATGACGTAATGAGATACCATACTGAGGAGCATATTCACCGAACAAAGAAATTGTGCTGTCCAGAACAGTTTTTCCACTGAAAAGTATATCCATATATATATATATATATATATATATATATATATATATATATATATATATATAATTGTGCAAGTGAACTTATTTTATCGTATAAGATGCTTGCTTTCATGTCTTCAAATGTGGAACACCCCCTCTAAAGCTTCAGCTGGACCGCGTTGCTGTTGAACCTGTTGGAGCAATGGCCAGCCGTGGGGCCTGAGCTCGATTTGTTTCAGCTATGCTTGACGTTAGTTCCACAGCTTGGACTTGGCTATAATACGCATGCTTTTTAAAGCCAATCAGATACCCTAAGGCGCGATAAGGACGCATACAAGTTGTGCAAAAGGTTGTCGGTGAAAAGAAAATACGCCCACGAAGGCGATGTTTAATAAAAGCGTTTCCGGGAGCGTCAGCAGTATATGAAAATACTATTCCTCCAAACAAGTGTCGGCAAGCCGTGAAAGGCGACAAGATCAACAAGTTACAGCGAATGAAACAACGACTTACGTCTTCCACGAGCAATACGTCAACTTACGGGAAGTGCAATTCATCCTGCGTGTTGATCTGAATTTTGCTCAAGTACAGATGCTTTTTCTTTTCAGATGGATTTATTCCGAACCGTTTTCATGGGTAAATTTGGGTTCAGAGTACCTGCTAAGCATAGCTTGCTGCGTGTACCCTGAACCCATCACCCAAGTCGTGCCGTTTAGTACAACGGAAATTTTGCCTCCCCTTTCGCCGAACAGAAATGCGGAGGGTTTCACGTACCGCGCATTACTGCGATACGGACGCCCGGGCCTGGGCTGGCCGTCGTTAACCAGTTGCTAGATGACCTTTCCATTTCAGCGGGCTTAACAATGCGCCCGTTTTGGGACGCGTAGCCAGTGCCGTTGGATTATGAGCCCAGCATTTTCACCCTAGACCAAGGAGGTGATATATATATATATATATATATATATATATATATATATATATAAAGCGAGTTCATGGAACTACTTGACATCACATGCAGGCCTGCCTGATGACTTGCAGAGGCCTAAGAATTGACACAGAGTCTTGCCACCGTGGAGCCCCACCGTTCAGGACTTGACCATGCCTCCTGCGACAGTGAGACGGCAGGAGCACGGGAACTTTAAAGGATCGGCGTCGCCAGTACCCCTCCAGACTCAATATGTGACAGACTCAGTGCGCCACACGCTCCGCATGCCAAGGCACGATAATATCACTACTAAATCATCGAAAGTCACCGGATCCCGGGTAACCGCTCCCTACTGCACATCCGTGACGGAGAGGAGAAGCGGGTCTGGTGTCTGGTGATGAGGCGGCCGTCTGGCCGCAGGTGGCGGCGGGTCCGATGGGCCGAGCCGCGTGCTGTAGGGTCAGCTGCACTGCACCCGGTCCGTGACAGCACTCAGCCGCAGCTCACTGCCGGAGGAGACGTCGTGGCAGACCGACAGGGAGGCCGGCACAGGTTATCCCTCTGTGTGCCGGGCACAGCTGGAGCACAGGGCGCGGCGTGACAACGCGGACAGGGATAGAGGGGGTAAGGCAGGGAGATACAGCCACCAAACCTTTTGGGACCTCTCAGGTCTGGACTGGGAACCTTGCAGCCCCAAAACATGCTGAGTTCACCAGGAAATTGGCTAAGGGAAAGGCACGCGGGTCTTTGACCCCCGCCCTCTAAACCAAGAGGTTTACATAATATACTAGGCGATTTCGTGGGAATTCGGTCAAGATTCGCAAGCGTTTCGATACATTTTCAAATGTGACCCCTGTTCACCAAAACATGGCTTAGTGCGTGTCTGTGACACAAACGATGACTAGAACTGATTTTACAATGTCATAGACACGTTTCATGACGAGCTATTTACATTTCACAATGCGTTTCACAAGCTATATCCCACTAAACACCCATGTCACAGTACACCCAGAGATAACTGACCTATTCTATGTGGTATTTCCTGGCAGTTGTCGAGGTCCCAACGGTGCCGCTCGCAGACGGGCCGGGGCGACACCAGCGCGTGCCGGTCGCGGCCACGCCGAGCGGCCTGCAGGCGTCCATTGCGCCGGATTGTTCGCGAGCATGGGGGAGGCAGCACCCGCCCCGGCCTGCCTCCTCACTGCTGGTTAAGAGCCCGTCCCTGCCTCGACCCGAGTCACTTCCGAGTGGCACACGACAGCGTGGCACTGGGAAGCCAGAACAGGACGACGCACGAGGGTCTTTGTCCGGCCGGTATGGGTGCCAGCAGCATGCTAGTGCCACCGGAGACGCCGGTCAGTTCACTTGACCGTGATGTTCACGTCACCGATGTTGCAGGTTCTCTCCAGCTTCGGTGACCTGCTGCGATCGACGTCTGGGCGAACCAGACGGTGCGTGCGTGCTGCCATCTCTGGGGTGAGTGATATACTTCTGTATGAGGCGGATGGCGCTGGGCGGCTCCGGCCCATGGATGAGTGGCCGTGCATTGCTCTTAGTTCTCGGACCCGGTTTGGCGAGCCAACTGTAAAAACCAGGCAGTGCGTCAATGCGGCGGATGTCTGCAAAGTTTGAAACACGACAAGATGCGCAAACCACCGCCGAAATCGCCACTGCAAACTCCGCCTTCAAGCCAATGTCATCCCAGATTTGGTCATGAGATGGGCATCCCCTTCTCTCCTTCCGTATTGGTAATGAGCGGCGTGTTTGCCGCATCCGTTAAAGCCTTCGTCCTCTCTTGCCTTATCCTTCATAGCTTCCCTGTGATGAATTGATGGGCAGAGAGACATAGGCGGATCGTGGGGGGGGGGGGGGGGGCACGGGGCCATGGCCACCCAAAAAATTCTGAGAGAATGTTTTGGCCCCCCAAAACATTCCCAGAACTTCATAGAAGTTTCGTCTACTTACCGTCTGTTTTAACTTTGATGGCGCGGAATCAAACATTCCTTTCCGCTTCGGAAAAAAACTTCATGAAGAAAAGTTGGCAGCGATTTAAATATCAAGATAAAGCGCATGTTGACGAGGCTTAGTCATACTCGGCGCAAACATCGTATTTGATAAGTGCACTGGACCTCGGATCCCACACCAGCCAGCTGGCGACGAACGGTCCCCCCCCCCAAAAAAAAGCAACTCCAGGCTGGATCCGTCCCTGCCGAGAGAAAACTTCCTTGTCCGGCGGCTGAGTTACACGCCAACATATCTCGTAATCATTCATCGTTGCTCAAAAATTGATGCATTGCGGCATGATTCTAAAATTTCAAAGCGTCATTTCAGTCGACGAGACATGTATACCAACTCCTCCGTTGTTCCCAAATTTTAGGCATAGGTGTGGGCAAGAAAAGCAAAGGAAAGAGCCGGTTAAAAACCAGAGGAATTCATGGCAACATGATATAGGCCTTGCTGGATCATTTCATCTCACTGAGGGAAGAGTTTGCCCATTCGTCAGCAAACTCACCACATACGATGTCCGTGCCCCGACTGTCCGATCACACCTGGCCCCCTTCCCCAACTCCGTCAACACGTGTGCAGGTCGGGAGCGGACCGCCGCGCCCCAGATTGTTACTTACGCCTTCTGCGCCAGTCTAACAGCGGCCTCGGGCCAGCGATGCGGCAGCACTTCTAAAGTTACCCGGCTCTGGGAACCAATTTCACTGGTGTCTCATTCGTCTTGATATTGTCGTGTGCGGAGAAAAAAACGCCAAAATGGCCCAATCTGCCCGCAAGTTACTGCTGTTCGGATTGCAGCGCCCCCCCCCCCCCCGCGGCGGCCACACGCCACACCCCCACCACCGGGCGACGGCGGGCGGGGGCGGGGGCGGCGAGACGTGCTGTTACGCTCAGAGCACGAACGACACGGCTGACCTTGATGAAGGGCATTGCCAACGCCCGCGGCGCGGCGCCGATCACGGCCGGAAATCCTACACCCACTCGGCCCGCCCGGGACCAGCCGGTGGGAGCCGGCGGGAGCGACTAAGACGCTGCCTCGAGCGAACCCTTGCCTCAAGGAGATCGCGGCAAGCTGTTCGGACAAGTCCAAAAGTGCTGACGTCACAGAGAGGCACGCTGGCGCAGCGCTCTTTCGGTGGCGTGCGCGGCCGGCTGTGCCGACTGTCGTTTTTTTTTGTGCACTGCCACCGTTACGCCCCAATGCGTCACCATTATCAGTCGTAGCGCAATCTTCACTCCCCCTGATTTTATTCAAGAGATCCTTGATAACAGTGACAAGGTGAGTCCTTCCGAACCGAGTGTGGGTATGGGGAGGGGGCGATACTTCTTTTTGTTTATGTCCTTCCATTCAACGCACGTGAGACCAACGCTAAATTTTCAGGAAGCTGGTTTGCTCAGCCCCTTGCCTTCTATCAGTCCCTTGCCTACCCACGCCCCTGTTAAATGATCAACCACCATCAAGTCATATCGAGTTGCATATCAATCAGATTGAGTGGACATCAGTCATCCATATGGTCATTAGTTTTGTTCACAAAGGATGCGCCTTTTTAAACCAAAGCATCGTCCAGAAGAAGCCAAGCTTACACTTTTTCCAACGACCAAATTTACTCCATATTACATCTGCTGTGTATAAATGTGCGATATTATTTACTCTGTGTATTTATGTGCGATACAATTCTGCCCTGTCGTGCGTACATGCACATGAAACACACTAATGCACCACGTCACTTGCCGAATGTACCATATTACTCCACCTTAATTTGATTTGGCATTTGAATGCGTACAGCACATTTCACTCCCGTGTCAGCAGCCTGCACAACAACATAAAAAACCCACTTACTCATATTACCCCAGTGTTTGTCACAGTAACAAAGTTGCGCCCTCTCAAACCCAGAGCATGCGGCGCAAGCCGCGGTGGCGGACATAGCATTACAAACAGCCAGGACGCGCTGTTTGTAGCCTGTGTCACGAGCAGTATTCGGCTTAGTGCCATGATAGTGAAGGTTGATGACAGCGCGGCTGCTGCGCTGGGGCGGATCCAGGAGTTCGCCAGGGGGGGGGGGGCAGGCACATTGCGGGGCCACCTAGAGTTTCAGGCCCCCTCCAAAAAATATCCTGGCATTCGGGTCAGTGCATTTTAAGACAAATAGTATTTAGCATATATATATATATATATATATATATATATATATATATATATATATATATAAACGAACATCCAACTTGCAATGCGCAGCCCCATAAAGCTAGGAGTGCTACGTATGCATATACATAAAGCTTATTCATGTTCTGCAGATTATGTTTAATCCTGTTATTTTGAGGCTAAGTATTTCGGAACAGCAGGCAAAATTCAGTCGAGTTGGCTGTTAACAACCATCAAACCCAGAGCGGCGGCTCAATTCCTAACTTGTTTAGGGCGAGCCGACTGGGCGATGTATCAACTGATGGCTGTTGATTAATGCAGGATTTTTCCCTTATAATATAGTAGTGCAAAATAGCCTAGCACTCAAAATACGCTAAGAACGTAATGCACTAGTATAATAAGTGTCGCACACTCAATAGTGAATTGAAATGATACCTGCGATGTCGCTGGCACGTAAAATTTCGTTCAACATTTGCGCGTAAAAATTCATCGGCGCATATCCGACTGCCGCTCTGAGGCGAAGGCACCAAAACCAATAGGAACGGAAACTAAGCGATCATGGGTGCCGCAGGAGGTCAAAAAGTGGCCCCCGTGAACAAGTATAGGACCCTCAGGACGAGCAAAAAGAAACCCAAACTAACGTGGTGGGTCCCTAAGCGATCGTTAGTGCCCCAGCAGGCTGACATATAAGGCCCGGGGCAGAGCACAGTACCCTTTGAGCAAAGGGAATAATCCAAGACCATGAGTTAATACCCCTGCGCGATCAAGAGAACAAGGGCAGGCAAACAGGAAGAGCCCCAACAGGAGCGAAGAGTCCCCCGCAGATGAGATCAAAGGGAAAGAGCCCTCTGGGCCCCTGAGGGCTCTTTCTGGACCCTGGGGGCCCCTGAGCACCGAGTGTCTTGGTGTCTTATCTTATAAGCGCCCCAGCAACGGCACAAGGCCCTCCAAGCAAGTCGAAAGAACCCGAGACTAATGTGAAGGGAGCAACCGAGTGTAGCCTGACATATGGGGCCCCGTAAAAAGCATATGGAGCCTTTCGGGCGAATGGGAAGAATCCGTGGAGGAAAAACTGCATCGACCAAGAGTGCCCAGACATGGAGGCAGATAGCGTCCCAACGACAGCGTTAGGCCCTTTGAGAAAATGCAGAGATCAAGAGAAACGCGGAAAGCTCCCTAGCGATCACATTCACCCAGCAAATGGACATATAGGGCCAGGATAATCAATAGTATACTGCCTGTAGACAGCGTAATGGGCCCAAAAATCTTCCTCAAAGGGGCACCTTCTCAACCAGTGAAGAATTAACATGTTCTGTTTATGACCTCTTTACTTTACTAGCAATTGTTCTTGGTCGCCTGAAAGCCCAAAGGCGACCAATTTTGTTGTGTTTTATTGTTAGAAAACTGCGTCCGCTCGGTCAGTTATGGGGCCCCTTTGGGGACGTTTAGGTTCCCTCGGCATGGTCCATGGGGCATGGTCCCATGCCTCTAGCCATCCTCTGCATCCGCTACCGGCCCGAGCACCTTAATAGGTAGGAAGTACCCAGGGCACAATGTGGAGGGCCCCCGAATCATTGAGAGTGCCCGAGTGGGTTAACAGATGGGGCTCCCAGCGAGAGCGTAAAGCCTTCTGTTAAGATATGAAATACCCACGACATGATGTAGAGCGGCCCAGTTCATCGAGTGCGCCAGAGCAGGTTAACAGATAGGGCCCCGAAAAGAGTGGAGGGACCTCCATTCAAATGGGAAGTACCCAAAACCAGATGTAGAGTTCCCCCAATGATCGAATGGACCCGAACATCTTATCAGAAAGGGCCCCGACAAAAGCGTAAGGTCCTCCAGTCAAATAAGAAGTACCCAAAACCGAGTGCGGAGGGGCTTCAAAAGATGAAGCGTACCCGAGTAGGTTATCAGATGACCCTAATAGGAGCGCAGGGCCCTGAAATCAAACACTAAGACCCTATGTGCAGGGCCCCCCGAACAATCCAGTGTAGCCAAGGAAGCGAACAGAGGGGGCCCCTGAGAAGTGCGTAGGGCCCCCGTTCAAATAAGACGTACCCAAGATCCAATGAAGAGGGCTTCCGAACGATCGAATGTACCTGAGCAGATTATCAGAAACGCCCCCACAAGAGCGTGGGTCCCCAGGGCCATTTAGATAAGAAGTACCCAAGACCCAGTGTGCAGGGTCCCCGAACGACCGAGTGTGCCCAAGCAGACTATCAGATAGGCCTTCGACAAGGGCGTAGAACCCTAAGCAAGTAACAGAAAATTGGAAGCGCCCTAGACCAATGTAGAGGGCCCCTGAGCATATCGCAAGTGTATCAATAGGTTAACCGAGACCCACGTAAAGGGCCCCTGAGCAGCCGAGAGTACTCCGGCAGGTTAAGATATGGAGAGCCGGCTATAGTCCACAGGGCCTTCTGGTGAGTGGAAAGAATACATGAAAGGGCCATTGATTGATTTACGTGCTCTGGTACTCTAGCAGGAAGGGCCCAGCAACAGCATAGGGCCCCCGAAACAAATGCAAAGAAATCAATAGCAACATGGAAGGCTCCTTAGGCGATCAGAATGCCCCGCAAGTGTACATATAGGTCCCCCAGAAACAGCATAAGGCCCCTAAACAGCGTAATGAGGCTTAAAACGCCCAATTCACAACTTTATCGGTGCTTGATTGTTTACTGCTCGTCGACCCTTCACTTTCGTTTGCAACTGTTCTTGGTCGACTGGAAATCCAGAGATGTACAATTTGTTGTGTTTGTGTTTTTTGTTGTAAAGAACTGCACCTTTTCGGCTGGCTATGGGCCCCCTTAGAGCCAATGGGTCCCTTCGGGGCCAAAGGGGGCCATAGCTCCGTGTCTCCACCCCCCCCCCCCTCTGGATGCGCCCCTGCTGCTGCGACGCCACCCGGTCCCATGTTTCATCCCAGTACGACTGGCGTCGCTGGGACTCCAGTGTCGATACCGCTCAGTCGCACACCGAAGCAGGATTTACACCGGCTCCGCCGTCCGTAATTTAGAATCAGCATTCCGTGAATTGCGGACCGACGGGCGGTTTCCGGTGAGAACTGAGAAACCAGTTCGCACCAAATAACACCCTGCCCACGGCATGCTTTTGCTCAGTGCCTCATAGTTTGCGGAATCTTCCGCTGCTACATACATGATTTGCTTTTTTCTCCTACCTCCTGAGTGGTCATGCTGTGCAGTAATTCAAACAAAAGAAGCGAAAGGAGTTTAGGTTGCATGTTTAAATATCTAGCATACGACCTTTTTTCGTCATATATGTAGACAAGAAGCGTTGGGTTATGGATTACAGGTTCGCTGATGCTTCGTGAATGCATATTGAAAATGATTTCAGCAGAGATTTGTGCCTGAGCATGTTTTGCATTGTGGCGAGTAAACCCTACTGGAACCCAATTTGAGTGTCGGGTATGTCTAACACGTGACACCTTTGCTCCTGATATCACCTGATTTTCAAGCGCGTGCGACGCACTGAAAAAATAAACACATGTACACAGACATTTGCGAAAAACGGCGGCGAATTGCAACGGCCTTCCATCGGGCGGGAAATTCAAATTGTGCTCAAACCCGACATCTGCTGATGACTGACGTCATAATAATAGTTGGGGTAACGATTGCGGCGGTCATCAGGGTTATTTTTCACGTGTATTTTTGTACGTCTCCAAGCACTGTAGACGATAAAATGTGTCTTTCAGCAGCGTTCTCACTAATGATATGTCCTGTAAGACCCTGATGGCTAGTCGAGGCGCTTCATGTGGGAAATCTAGATCAAATTTGTTTTTTTCAAAATGTTTCAATGAAAAACGGACTAATTATTGTGTGCCTACCAACGTGCAAAGACCTTGAACTAGTTGTGTGGGAGGTTGCTACCCAAGATCTTCCACATGCCGCTGACCTAGTGGTTATGAATCCCGCTAGGTCCCCGCCATCATCCAACCGCCTAGCAATGAGAACGTTCACAAGTGTGCACCGTTTGGGTCCATGCTTGCCATCCTGCACTGGACACTAAATAACCCTAGTAAAGCCCCCTCATCAACACCACACACACCAAGGACGGAATGTTGCACAGCAACACTCTTATATATCAAGCGAAATCACATATATCAGCAGTGCGTCGTTTCCTCGTGCATCTGACCCTCAGTTGCACCCGTCGCCATCCCGAATTTGGAAGCGTAGCGGATCCGCCAAAGCTGCCAGACTCAACTCCATGGCGAGGGAATTCCTTTGATGCTTCACGGACCATTACGGGCTGTCATAGCGGCTGACTGACGGATTCAGTGCGAATCCTGCTTAGCTTAACGACATGGCGGCCTGAGATACCTGGCCGTATCGGTATTAACGACTGGTGACACGGAGGGTTACGACACGGGTTCGTACCGTACCGTGGCCCATATCTCTCCCACTTGGTCCACTGATATCTGGTGAAAGCCATTAGGTTATTTTCCCCGCATATAAGTGATACACTGGTTTACCGTCGGAACCATTCACGTCCGCTGTTGTGCTCACCCCAGAAATATTCACACACGGCTTTGCATAATTTGGACCCCGAATGCAGGCTACGCACCAAATTCGTTACTGGTCGTGAAATGGGGCTCGTGCTATCTAAAGAAGCATTTGGTAAGAACCGCTCCTTTGTAGAGTAAGAGCGACTTTACCGTAGTACAACTGCGCTCGTCACCTGCGCTTGGTCGTACCAAGGTCATGATGCAGCCGCATTATCTGTGTTTGAATGTAAGCACCAGTGACAGTTACAATGTTGTCTTGAGCGCAATGAATGCAAATCAAGCATTTCAAGCTTGACATTTGAGGCAATCAAGCTGTAAAGATTCTCCCCGCGCGGTTCATGGAACCCAGCTGAGCGTGCCAAACACAGACTAGCGGGCACTATTCATCAGACACCGCTCAAGACCAACGGTAGGGGAGGGGACGACTTATGGGACCATGTGCCATGCCTGGAAATATCGAAGCATGGCAGATGTCAGGGACGTTTGTATTCTGACGGGCTGTCACACATCGCGGCCAGCTGTTCTGACCCGAACTTGCAAAACACAGCTGTCTACGGCAGCATCGAAACGGGCAGCGTCAACTCTGCCCTCCTACTCTACCCTGCCCTTCCACTCTTCCCGGCCCTCCTTCGAGCCCTACCCATACTGGCAAGCGTCGCGCTCGCTAACAGGGATATGTCACACATCCTGTCAGATCCCTGCCAGCCGCGAGCAGACGCACGGTGCGGCTGCAACAAGTCTCGTCTCGGATTTCTCTGCGGGGAGTTGCTCTCGAACCGCAAGCTGCCGATGATTAGAGCAGGTGACGTCGTCTGAACACAAGAGTCTGGCGTTCTGCTGCTGGAATGCCCTCTGGCCCTGTATCAGACAACTCCTTTAATCAGTTGATACATTCTGTAAATTTTGCTCCCATTTTCTGCCATTCAAAACATTAAAAACACGCAAGGAATGTACTGGAAACATTCCATTAGCAGTGTGCCATTCATAAAGATGATATGAATTAGTTACGTGACGGCATATGGGCCTCAGGATTAGAACGCCATTCTGCAGCTGCTGCCCGCACGCACCACGGGTCACAACAGGAGCGGGACTACGGGGATTATATAGCCATAGGACACGAACATTGCCATTAATTCGGACTACGCAAACATCAGACGTTTGGTAATATCAGTAGAGCACGGCATCTGAGCCGGGCATTAACAACGGACGTGTAGCCGTTTGGGTCCAGCATTGTAACTGGCGACCGAAACGGCAGGGTCGGACGCAATGGCAGCTTATCCACTGCAGGCGGGCACCAGCGCAGTCCGCAGACTGACCGCGTGTCCGACGAGTCATCGATACCGTTAACATTGCACACCGCGGCTTTAAAGCTCCCATTACAGCACGCGGCCACCTGGAGGGCGGCACACCACTGACCTCCGCAGCTGCAGGCACGAGTCGATCGACGACCAAGCGACCGCCGGCGGGCCAGCGGGTGCACACGTACTAGCTAACACAACGGAAACGGTCTCAACGGCACACCAATACGCAGGTACAGGAGGCGACGAGTGAACGTGGCGCCAGGCAAACCCGCTGATGAATTAATTCTGCTGACGACGCGTTCATTGCGTCGCGCGCGATAAGCCATCACCGTTACTGAGCGGAATTCGGGAGGTCCTGGCAAGCAAAACATTCCCGCATGCTAAAAAACGTCACATCACACCGCCAGTAACGTCACACCAGGCGGATTCCAGTGGCTGTCAAGGAGAGAGGGACTGCTGGGGTGTGGCAGGACAGCATCAGGAGCGCGCGCAGCACTGCATGATGATGCTACACAGCACGATCATGCTGCACACTGCCTTTGGCGTCAATGCTTGTCACGTCTGCCGGGGGAGTGGAGACGCAAATTACGGCTCTTTCTCCGGGCGAGACGCAAATCACGGCTCGTTGTCCGGGCCGTGATTTGAGTCTCCAGAACATGTTGGCCCATGAACAACAGACCCATGTTGCTGTCTCTACGTAGAAAGGTTGGCGTCGGTGTGGGGCTCACCAAGACAAGCCATCAAAACCGACATGGGACTCACACAATACCTATGAAGCTCTTCTGAGGAGTTCAGAGGACACCCATGCAGCGACGCGGGGGGACAACCGTGCAGCGGCACCGGGGACACCCATGCAGCCTCGCCGGAGACACCCATGCAGCGTCCGCTGGGGACAGTCGTGCAGCGTCGCTGGGGACACGGTTACCTGTCGGAGAGCACCCACCGGCGGTGTGGTCACGAGGCTCAATGGAAATGGTAGGGACGGTGCGCCGGGGCCACTGCAAGTGGTGCAGACAGACGGGACTCAGAGCAGAGACGGGTGCGAGGGTCACAGTCAGCTGGCGACAGGCGCAGGTGCTCTCAAGGCTGGCCCCAGGGTCCAGCCTCTGCAGCCAAGGCCAAGGCTGGCCCACGGTCCAGCCTCTGCATCCAAGGCCTAACTGCGCAGCACACATTGCAAGGTGCTTGTTTCAACGGTGATGTTATAGAAAATAAGATCGGGCTACGTGATGCACTTTGATCATGCGCAGTAGTCATCGCTGACACACGGGGAGGGTGGTGCTGATAAATCGAGCGATTTGAGCGTGAGTGCTGAAGACAGCAAAACTTGCCAGCGGATATGCAATGTGACAATGCAGTATTTAAGTTATGAAACAACTTTTTATGGGTTGAAGTGATGCTCAATAATAAAGCAAAACACTATATATTAGAATAAGTGTGTGTATAGGGTGGATGTGTTTCGAAACTAGACAACATATAGCAGAGCGACACTGAGGTCAGGACTACTGACTCTAGCAATGTATGCATCAAGAGTCGATCCATGAAAGTACCTGTCGTAAATGTGAGTTTTGAAAACAACGTGTATCAACATGTAGAATTCCTTCATCGACGCCTCTACACATATGAAACGAGCAGTAGTATCTGCTGGAAAAGCCATCGTTCACGACATGTCTGAATTTCCCGACTAGATTGTGACCCTTATATCGAGAATTACAAGTAGGATAACGCATCTCCGGAAAACAAAAAATATGTCTCTATATATATATATATATATATATATATATATATATATATATATATGTATATGTGTATATACAACGGGATATATATATATATATATATATATATATATATCCCGTAGAGAGGAGGGACAAACCTGAAATCGTTACGCTTTTGGTGTCATGATTTGGGCCAATATGCTATATTCATATACCACTGCGTGCTAGTCGCCTAAATCCTTGATAGATAGATAACTCATAGTCGCGGTGTCCTTACAAATAATTGCAACGTACATAAAACATGCCATTCGACATGCTTGAAGAGTTTCATTACGTGCAAGTCCGTGCTGGCTGAAACGCTAACCAAAGACCAAGCTAAACGCGTGCGCTAGTTACACCCTGCAATCAGATCACCAGCTATTCGGTGCATTGGGTGGATGCGGTCGATAGCCTGGAGGGTTGGGAGGTCACAGTATAAACTTCCCTCCCAGCTAGCTGAGCCTAAACACCTGTTCGAGCCTGATTGGTGTGAAACGACCGAGCCGATCTGAGCTCAGCCGATCACGGCGACCAATCCGCGTCGCTGCTGACGGCAGAGACTGGCTGCGGCCAGCGTCCTGCGACAGTAAGCAGAAATGCCACGCGTCGTTCCGCTAACAGACGTGCGGTGCGTTTTCCCAGTACCCCGGAGGTCTCTTGACTAGGTGCAAGCTTCACTAGTCAACGACACACAACGATTTTGTCGTCTGATGTAAGTTTTCAATGTGTGGCTGTCACCAGGGCGCTGACATTTCCAGGGGTAAGGATGTGGCGGTCCACAAAATGACAGACACCTGTAAAGAAGCTCAATTCTGAATTTCAGGGCCCCAAAACCACCAGACTGCCCGCAGAAAACACAACGGGGAATATGGGTCGAGCTTTGCATGTCTCTGAAGGGACCTTAGCTCCCCAAATATGGGCCTCGGCTCGTCAACATTCAACCAAAGCCACAAACATTCACAAAAGAGCAGTAAGATAAATAAGATAGTACAAACAAGGGCGCGAGAACTATGCTAAGTTGAGCCGTGGAGGGGGGGGGAAACTCGAAAATGTCAAATAAATCACGTATATTGGGTATATATATATATGTATATATATATATATATATATATATATATATACGTATATTAGATATTGGGCTTCATATAAGACCAGAATGGGCTTTTCACAGGCAAAAATGGGCCATCTGTAGGTCAGAATGGCCCCAATACGGATCAAAATGGCCGTCGGCCCTGCACAGTTGACAAAGAGCTCTCTCCTGATCAGAATAAACCCAATAGGTATTATAGGTTCGCGTGAGACCTCTACAGATCGGAATGTGCCCTCGTTAGGCCGGGTTGAGCTCTACAGACAGAATAGCCCTCCGCAGCCAATACTGGATCCTCTACACGTCGTAATGGGCCCTCTACAGCTCAAAATGGGCCCTTTTCAGATCAGAATGGGACTTCTAAAAGCCAGAATAGACCCTCTACAGGTCAGAGCGGGCCCTCTACAGTCGACGATGGGCTGTCTGCAGATCAGAATGGATCTCTGGGCCGAAATGGGCTCTGCGAAGTCAATAATGAGTCCTCTGCATGCTCAGTATTGCCCCATTTTGCTCAGAATGGACCACTAACAGCAAATAATTAACCCTAAACAAGTCAGAATGGGCTTTTGCAGACTTACTTGATCCATTTGCAGTTCAGAATGGGCCATTAACATATCAGAATGGGCCCAAAACCTACCAGAATGGGTCCTGCACATATCCCTCCGAGTTAGGGGACACCGCCCGCCATCTTCAAGCTGGGGGTGGGGGGGGGGGGGGCAAACTGTCCCACCGCCCCTCCCCCGGTTACCGCGTCCGTGAGTACAAACCTTGATGCTTGGAAAATAATGTCTCGCCGCTCCCCATCTCCCCAAGAATGTCATGAGCCACCGTTCGTAAGGGAGCCATCACGAAGGCCTGCAACCGCTGCGGCAATCAAAGGGCCGCATAACGCCTGTCCGGAGCCAGGCGAGTCCTGCAGTAAAAGAAATCTGGCTGAAAATGTTATTGAGAGGTTTGGTGGTAATGCTTGTCGCACATGTAGCATGTTGAGCTCAGGCCGATACTTTCGGCGCGTACACAGTTCAACCAACTAGCTGATGTACCAGCCAGAGAAGTACTAAACAGCATGCTTCGAGATATATGAAACGAGCAGCGGCTGGATGCGCTGTGGTTCCTACAGGTCACGTGCACAGTTAGTGACTAAGCGACCCTCACCGGCCGTCTCGGAGCCAGAGCTGGACACTCATCGTCAGTCTCGGAGCTAGAGGCAGCCACTCACGGTCCGTCTCGGAGCCAGAGCTGTCTACTCACGGTCCGTCTCGGAGCCAGAGCCGGCCACCAACCGGCTGTGTCGGTGTCAGAGGCTGCCACTCACCGTCCGTCTCGGAGCCAAAAGGCTGCCACTCACTGGCCGTCTCGGAGCCAGAGGCTGCCACTCATCATCCGTCTCGGAACCAGAGACGGCCACTCACCGGCCGTCTCGATGCCGACGCCGTGCGAGCTGCGCCTGCTGCCGCCGCCCAGCCACACCTGGGAGCGCACCAGACCCTTGGTGCCGGTGTGCACGCGGTCCACGCTCTGTGAGCGGAGCGCCAGCGGGCTGAAGGGGCCGCCCGAGCGGCAGCCGCCGTCCTCCTTGTGCCGGCCGCCGCCCATCCGCTCGGTGACCCGGTACAGCTTCTGCGAGATGTCTTTACCTGGCGGACCGGGCGCCCGCTCAGACGCCGCGGCGCGGAGGAGAGGGGAGGGCAGCACGAGACGAAAGCCCTTGCTGGGAGGGGACGGAACAACATCGCGGGGGATAACACGCGGGCAGGCGCACACATCGGGGATTAACATAGGGTGGTGAGAAGCAGGCACTACGATAAACACTACATATCGGTATACAACTGGACGGAGACGGTCGTGCGAGTGTTGCGTCACACATGTCACGGCTGACAGGAACAACGAACGCGGACAACCTGGACTTTTCAGAGAAGAAGTTGGAGCCATTTGTTACTTTTGCTCCCGATAATTGGCCTTGTTAAGCCCACATGGGTTCTGGAGCGGCGCGGACGCTGTCCGAATCTGGACAGGTCTGCTTTCCGACTGTTTTTGCCGGTGGCCTTCCAGGAAGAGCGTGGCAGGCCGGAGAGGAGACGTCTTACAATCCAGTTGGGGAGTCGGGACCGCACACCGCCGGCGAGCTACTGACAAAACAACGACGCAGGCGGGTCAAGACCGCACACCCTGAGGGGTTGAGACCGAACACCGCCAACGAGGTACTAACAAAACAACGACGCAGGTGGGTCAAGACCGCACACCCTGAGGAGTCGAGACCGCACACCGCCAGCGAGCTACTGACGAAACAACGACGCAGGCGGGTCAAGGCTGCACACACTGAGGAGTCGTAACCGCACACCACCAGCGAGGTACCGACAGAACAACGACATAGATGGGTCAAGACTGTACACACTGAGGAGTCGAGACCGCACACCACCAGCGAGGTATATACAAAGCAACGACGCATTTGGGCCAAGACTGCACACGCTGAGGAGTCGAGACCGCACACCACCAGCGAGCTACTGACAAAACAACGACACAGACGGGTCAAGACTGTACACCCTGGGGAGTCGAGACCGCACACCACCAGCGAGCTACTGACAAAACAACGACACAGACGGGTCAAGACTGTACACCCTGGGGAGTCGAGACCGCACACCACCAGCGAGCTACTGACAAAACAACGACACAGACGGGTCAAGACTGCGCACCACCACACGGTTATCGGATGAGAAGGCAGCCGGAGTGAATCTTTTCGATAGAACTGCATCACTTGGATGCGATATTAAACTTTGCAAGCCCTGATGGCCTCCTAACTGTGGTGGAACTTTTGAGTGCTCTGAGACCATTGGTTCAGTAATTGTGGGCATACTGAATGCTGAAGCCAGCTGTTTGGCAAGGGTGAAAGTGGACACTGCAGGCAATTTTTAACGGATCGATGTCAGGTCACGTCACGTCACGTCACGTCGCCTACGTCACGTCTCGTCACGGCCCTGAATTTTCGGCTTAAACCCCTCTCTGCTTTCGCAGCCGTAAAAGCAATGCTTACCTACGAGGTTGCGCATCACAGCATTAAGAAAACAATTATTCTTCATGATAAGCAAGAGCGACGTTGAACTCCACGTCAGGTACGTCGAGTCCTCCACAGCAGTAATAGAAACCTGCAAACACAACGCCGCCGTCATCTGGTTGCTCTTCTTAGAAAAACTGTTGCCGACATTTCGCAGATGCTTCTGTTTGTGCCAGGACGTGACACATACGAGGCACACAGTGGTACGGGGCCAGACCGCCACCCAGAAATAGTCCCCGGGCCACGCCGACATGGGGAGAGGCCGCTGGGGCGGGCGCCACCATCGCGAAGTAGTGTCGGTGGGCAGCCGCGGGCACCACCACAAACACCGCGCATCAGTGTTTAACGGAACGGGATGGCCAGTTGTGAACGTCACGGCGGACATGCCACGGCTGGCAGGAGCAACACACGCTGACCAGCTGGGACGTCGGGTGAATGGGCCGGAATCATTCGCCGTCTCTGCTCCGGATAATTGGTTTTGTTACGTCCGGAACGGTTAGTTGGCCAGAGTACAGCCTGTTACATGTTGAAAGTTGACAAAGCGAATTTTAGCTTCACTTTGGGCAAATATGTCAGCTGTCAATACATACACACATCTATACCATATCCACATCATGTGTATACATAACACGGGTTGCCAAATCTTCGTGTGATGAAGCCGGTCGGGAAACAAATCCGACAAAAAAGCGGATCGTTATCAAGTCAACGGCCAAATCTGGTAAAAAGTATTCATCAAAGCCGGCCTGGGTAATCATTTGCAAGCTTGGTAGCTAAAACCCAACCTTTCATGTTACCACACTCAGTCGTGGTTTCGGCAAGCAACACACCATGGTATGAGTGACAGTTTTGGGCTGGCAAGTATGTCGCACACGTCGCAGCAGTGACGCAGATCCGCGCTTGTCGGCATCGTGACCACTTAGTCAAATCACGTCCATATCCTGCGAGATCCGGCGCTCGCCGCTGGGGGCAGAGGCGGCGCGGCGCCAGGGGGGGGGGGGGGGGAGAGGGGGCGTCGGCGCGTCGCTGTTTGCGTCAGCCCCGGCCGGCCGGACCGTGCCGTCCGGCCGGCCGCACCTCAGACGTGCCCGAGGGAAGCCGGGATCGATGTGTCGGGCGCCGCCGCCGACAGACGGGGCCGCTCAGAGCCGCCGACACTCATTTGCGTGGCCCGACCGACCTGATCGGCCCTGATTGGCGGGAACACTGGGCGGCGCGCCCGCACAAGCGGCGCGTCTGACGCCAATCTCACAGCGCGACGAGCCTGCTGTTGACGTCGAGTGCTGCTTTACTACCGTCATTAAGGCTGAAAATTACCAGCTCAGTCAAACCGAGAATTGAAATAATACCAGGCCGACTCGCGAAGCTCGCGGCTTAGACCCTCGTGCTCGTCTGAAAGATCACTTGGTGATATGAGTGATCACCCTGCTTCACACACACACACCGCCAATCTGACGGGGCTGGCGCCGCCTCGCGCGGGACCGGCCGGTGATTTGGCCGCTGACCTGGTACACGTCGTCCGGGTCGAGCCGCGGACTGACGCTGGAGACGAGGCCGGCGTTGGTCGGGCCGCCGAACACCCGCTCCGACTCCCACTCCGGGGAGTCGATAAACTGGTTGGGAATGACGTAGTGCAGGTGGATGCCGTCACACAGCACCTCCAGCCTGCAAGCACGAACAGCGCCAGGGCAACGTGCAGCCATGCTTACGCCGTAAGAAGCAAGAAATGCTTCACTTTAACCACCGTGCTTCTTATCATCGTAAGAAGTACGGTAAGTTCTTACCATCGTAAGAAGCACGGTGGTTGTAGATGATTGCATAATTATTTTCCAGCCAGATCTCTCAGGTTTTGTACTGTTGGTAACACATCTGTGTCGTGAATGACAGAGGCTTTCAGTTTTCGGCGCTCTTTGGGAGCAGCTTTGATCTCGCGCTTCTTCGGCACCCCACGCCCCTAGCGCTCGGCTATACATAAAGTTGACCCGATTTCTCGTGGTCGGTAAACAGGGAAGTAATCTGGTGACCTCGGGTGAGATCATGCCTTTGGGACCGGTCACCGAGATAAATGGTGCATTTATCTGCAGAGCATGCACGGGACATACTGCCGGAGAACCTCGGCTGACACAGCGTGAGGTTCACAGCACGGTGCCCCCCCCCCCCCTCCCAACACCCCGCTGATGCCATCCTTTGAGCTGGAGCTGATCGAAGAGATTCCGTCATAAGTCTTAGGGTCGACATGGATTAGATGATGGTGGTGTAGATGGTGGCAGGTGTTACAATTTGAAGGGCTTCGCACACATTCTCGGGTATTCAGTTGAGAGATGCCCTATATGCAGTTCCTTGTTCCGCTGAGGTCGGCGGTCTGACTTAGCTGAGGGTTCGCCGTAATGGGGTGTGTGTTCTGAAGACGGTTCTGATATTGTAAATCATATCGACTTTCCCAACGGCTTCTGGCAGCCCTCCCTTTATGGTATGCCTGTTGTTGCCAATGATTTAATCTACACTGCCTGACGCCGGTGGGCTTTGGCTTCATGAAGCCTATGGGAGGCTGTTCCTTTACAGGCTCTCATGAAGGTGGCTCATCACTCTTTTTCTAGTTGCGCCATATGCGCTGATGACTTCCGCACAGAGTTAGAGATATCTGGCAATGTTTATCGTGACATTATGGACTGAATCTCCGAATTCTTGACTGGACGTAGGACAAATAATAAGATCAAAACCATATACAGAGCACATGGCCCACTTCACCCCTATCCCCTACATGAGACAGGCATGGCCTTATTGACGACGGCGAACGACTACCTAGCCCGTGTTGGCACATCAGATCAATTAGAACAATCAAAACCAAAGCGCAGACGATATACGCACAGATCTTGCCACACTAACTCCACCGTCTCCCAGCAGTTGAGCATGGTCAAGCCTGGTCTCTCAGACCTCTCTCTTCCAGCCCCCCCCCCCCCCAGCCCGACTCTCGACTTCTCACAAGCCTGTCATATTCCACCTGACCCTACCGAGGGTGCCTCTCCCATGCCGGACCCCCCCCCCCCCTCGGGTCGCACTCACTTCCCTGTGAGCAGCACAGAGAGCCGGCCGGACGTGGGCGTGACGTCCTGCACGGCGTACGCGTCGGCCGCCGCCAGCGGGTGCACCTCCGCACCGCGCGTTAGACACCGGAAGTCGCGGTTATCCACGCGCAGCGGCAGGAACAGCTTGCGGTGCAGCTCCTTGAGGTGCAGCGGCACGCGCGAGGGCCGCTCCAGCCAGCCGGCGTAGCCGATGTGCAGCACGTTGACGGCGAGGAGCGTCAGACTCCAGGCGAGCGCGTCCGGGGCGCAGATCTCCCAGCCGGCCCAGGCGGCCAGCAACACCAGGCTGGCGCACAGCAGCGCGCGCATGGCCGCCGCGCTCAGCCGGAATGTGTGCGGGATCACGAAGGCGGCCAGGTAGAAGAGGTTGGCCACCTGGAAGAGCTTGCGGTGCACGGCCGGCCAGCTGGTACAGGAGGGCGGCTCCGACGTGCTGCCCATCGATGGTAGGCCAAGCGAGTGGTTCAGCGGTAACGCTTCCATCGCGGCGCGGCGACCCTCTGTGGGAGGGAGCAGCGGCGTCAGGGGGGGGGGGGGACGGCGTCAGAGGAGCTGCGTCTGAGGAAGCGTCGGGGTGGGGGGGGGGACGGTGTCAGTAGGAGCGGCGTCAGTAGGAGCGGTGCCAGGAAGAGTGGCGTCAGATGGAGTGGCGTCAGTAGGAGCAGCATCAGGGGGACCGGCGTCAGAGGGCGGCGCCAGCAGGAGCGGCGTCAGCAGGAGCGGCGTCAGCAGCAGAGGCGCCAAACGTCAAGTCAACAGTTAGTCATCTGAACCTGAATATCCTAAGGTGACTGACAAAGACGACGGGCATAATCAGCATGTACCATCTGCTCGAGCTCTGACAAGATCGGCGTCAGGACAAGATCGGCGTCAGGAGTGCGCCAAAAAAATGCTCTGTAGCGTCTGAAATTCAGACCCAGACGCTAAAGACGCTATATATGCAGACGCTACACACCAGACCCAGACGATCTAGACGCAGACGCTACAGACCAGACCAGGACGACCCTGGCCCAGACGCTATAGACCGGACCAGGACGTCCCTGACCCAGACGCTATAGACAAGATCCAAACGACTCAGACCCAGACAGTATAGACCAGACCAGGACGACCCTGACCCCAGGCGCTATAGACCAGACCAGGACGACCCTGACCCAGACGGGTTAAACCAGACCAGGACGACCCTGGCCCAGACGCGGACACATCACACCACATGGTGTAAGATCAAGATGACCCTATGCGATGAATGGCGCCTCATGCTAGAGGAAAACTGACCACCGGGAGCGAACGGCAGCTGGTTCGGAGGCGATCAGCTCACAGGAGCTTGGGCCGAAGAGCACTTCAATCACACTTTAAAACCCGCAACGGTGGTGTGAAACGAGAAGATGATTACTCCAGTCGTCGACACTAAGTGCAAGATCAACTTTTACCAGGGATGACCTTGGCATTATAGATCAGCCCTTCCGACAGTTGAGTATTTATCTTAATTGTGGGAAATATTGGCTACACCCTTAGCCTCTTACAGTAGTTTGATGAGGACTCGTGCTTGAACCTTGCGTTTCGTTATTCACCAGTTCCAAGTGCATTTCTGCAATACAATAGCCGGCTTTCGGGTAATGCTAAGTGCGCGTCCAAAGTGAACACACAAGTTAGGAATCAACATCTCCCCGGTGATGCGATGTGTCCACGGTTTACACCGTAGGTCGCTGTATTTGAGCTTGATGCGTTACAACTGCTTCAAAGATTTGTTGAAACGTTGGATTCGGCCGCCTGATCTACAAAACCGCTTAGATAAATGTGAATCACTAAGTGGACCCTGCTTTACTGCCAAGTGCAGAAGCTAGGTACAAAAGATTTAAGCAAACACAAGCTCCTTAAATTCTTATGCGACATTATCCGACGGAATAGCAAATGCGTTGTCTCATCACCATCGTATCGCGTCGTTTGCTCCTAATATTCCAAATACTCGTGATTTGGGCACGGGTGAGCGGAAACCAGAGCAGTGGTCTAGCACACTCATCTTCCGTAATGATACGACTGGGCTTCAAGTCCCGCTACAAACGACTGTCTCTGGACCAGTTGTCACCAGGGGAAGTGACGCTGGTTATGTACGAATCTGCATGCGTCAATGAATAACCGGATGGTTGCGGTTATTCCGGTTGGGATATATGTGCACACCGTATAAATCGAGTCGAAGGCCCATACAACGATTTTGCAAAACAAAAACGACTCACAGGAAGTCATAACGCCGTTCTCCGAGGATGTACCAATCAAACGGGTTCTGTATTTCCGAAGCCGTATGGTCACCTGCCATCGGCGCTGGGGGCCGCGGGAAACGTGGCTGCGGTAAACGCCTGCCGCTTTCGTTGGCCTTCTGCCCGCCAGCCGTCAGTAGTTCGGCATCTCGGCTCAGCCCCAGCCTCCAAACACCACAGCGAGTGTCGACGGGCTCGTGATGGGCATGTGCGATCTAAATGAACTGCGCCTACCGGAACATCGCTGTTTAGCTGCGTCAGTAGCAAATTCGGTCATAGTCCCTGATTCATATGGTATGCCCAGTTGGCTAAAGACTTTATCTTTACGCTGTGAAATATGTGTGCCCGGAAACAACGCATAAAACAGGCAGGATTTCACACGTTAGGGTATTGTTAGAATTGAAAAGTCAATGCCCGTTGTTGAGGGTCATATTCTCTGCTAATTCTAAAAATGCTAAAGCCCCCCCCCCCAATTTTTCGGTACACTTAATCCATTTTAACCATGCTATAGCGAAATGTAGCGAAAAGCAAGACGTAACCTATGACTGGTCAACTGTATGGCTCCTTATTTATTTGTTAACCACGCGCTCTCGTTTTCTGCTTTTATGTGCATATCATTGTCAGTGTCCGACTTCGTCGGCCTTTTCCTGCTTGAACTCCTCGACGTGGAGATATAATACTCACACACGTTTTGTCAGGGCGGAATTCGCGAAATCATCCAATACAATATCACCCTTTAACGGCCTGACAAGGCACACTTCACAGCGCGCATCCCTGATCTACCGACATCATCACCTGTCCCCCATGTGCGCCTGATGGTTGTATATCACTGGCGTCCGTCCCCATCTGTCCTCACTCAACTTCAGCGTAGTCTTATCATGTACCCGCGGGCCCGACTGCGGCCACCAGCCCCGCTCCGTCACACGCATCACGCGCCACGCTCTCCCCGCGCCGCAGTACACGCATACCTGCTCGTCTCCAGGCCCTCGCGGTACGTCCGAGTGGCGGCACCACACTTTCTTGACCCGGTGGCCTCCCGGGATGGATCCAGGGGAGGGGAAGGGGGAGGGCAAACCGGGCGAATGCCCTCCTCCAAGAACAAACATGTGGGTAGAACTATGCCTTTTTGCCCCTGGCGAAGCTTTAGGTGCATGGCCGTGTGCAAGCTGGCAAACGGCACTTGTTTGCTCTTTCCTCCACCACCTTTTCAAATCATCAGTTTCATTTACCTCACCAGTGGTCAATGGTGCACATCGGTCAATAGGCTGTGCTCACTCATACAACTCAGGTTTGTAATAAGCAGCCTGGCTCTGTTCATTGTTGCTCTGAAGGACACATTTTCGCGAATTTGTCCTTTGTCGCTGTTGTCAATATCCCTCTACCTCATTGCACGATTGTTTTTAATCACCGAGGCATCTACGTTTGGGAGCCGACCCAGTTATACCGTCCCGGAGCCGAATGGCTGGGTTCAACCCCGCCGACGACCGCGGCACTTCCGCGGTGATCATGCCTATTCGTCCCCCGTCCGCACGCAGGTCAAGCTCACGTTAATTGTGGATGATTTTGTGGTCTAAGCCCTCGCCGTGTACAGGTGGTTGCAAACGCCCTGAATTCACCGCCCCGCCGAGAAATACCATCCAACGGACGACTTTTGCTGTAAGATGCTACCGTGCCGAGCAAAACCGTCATACTTCATCCTTGGCCCTGTGTCAGACTGGCTGTCTTGATCAGTTGCCAACTGGCTGTCAAAGACTAGCCATGTGAGCGCCCTGTTTGGGCGCGGACCGCCATGCCTGTCACACAGCGATCAGGGTGTCTGACCCTCCACCAACTGGGCTACAGGCTCGGCAAATCATCGCGAGGAACTTGGCAGCCAAGCAGGCTCAATTGGAACCATCCAAACCAAAGGTTTTGAATTAGCTTTCTCCGTCAGGATTCGAGATGGAGCTGGACATGAGACTCGTCGTCGTGCGATTAGGCCTGATTCATCTCGGAGGGGATGCCTGGTGGTATAATTGGGAGGTCCATGTTTCTGCGCATTGGGCTCTAGCCGTGGCCGGTGGAGCCTTACGTTTGTTGTCCAATACCCTTGGCCCTAGCCCGCACCCGCACCAATACACAAGTCCCTGAGCAGAGCCCCGGACGGTGTGGTACTTCTCGGTTAACGTGTGCCGGTTGCATGTATTTCGTACAGTGATGCATAAGCAGCATTGGTACCTACCGGTGGATGCTCTTAAGGTCGAAATGATTCCTAATTCCTCGTACTTTTGAGTGTTTGGAATGCACGGAATGCTCCCAATGATAGGGAGCATTCCGTGTAATGATGCTCCCAATGATAGAAAATATTCCGTTTCTGCAAGACACACTAGTGTGGCAATGCCCACACAGAAATCATGTTGGACCACCTTGTTGATTTTCGCATCATTTAATTCAATTTTCTGTGAAACAAAAGCGACTGGCGTAACAACAATACAGGGCAATCATCAGTTTTGGTATGACATGTTAGCCACTAAAACGCGCATTTCATATTTCCAGTACCCCACTATATGACAGCCTGCAGTGTCCCTCCGTGCAGTTTAGGGAGAGCCTGGGCTCTAATGACCTGATATTTGGGTATCAGGCCTAACGCGATGCATGGGAAGAGCAAGGTCATTAAGTTCAGACCTTCTTAGGAAACCTCAATTTTTCTAATGAATGACGCCTCTGAACATAATCACCATCTGCTGCATATCACGGTAGATTCATTTCCTTACATCGGAGGCCAACAGTCATCGGCGGCTTCGGCCCGCCATTTGAGCGCTCGAGTGAGCGGTGAGAGCGGTGGCGGCCGCGTTCGGGGCGGTGGCGCCTGTTGCCTGCCCGCCGCGCCGGCGAGTCGGCTCGGAGTGCGCCACAGGTCCGCCGGCATCGACCGACTCCGGCTTTGGACCGGCCAAATCGATTACGCCGGTCGGCGGACGAGAAGAAACGCCGCCGGCACCGAGGCCGGGCAAACCACGTTTCGTCGACCGCCGCTCGACCCGGATCCGCCCCCGGGCCTGTTCAGATACCGCTTCCTCGACCGCCGCTCGACCCGGATCCGCCTCCGGGCTTGTTCAGATACCGTTTCCTCGACCGCCGCTCGACCCGGATCCGCCCCCGGGCTTGTTCAGGTACCGCGCGCAGCGGCGTGACCGAGCCAGGCGCGCCAGCCGGTCGGCCCGGCGGCCGAAGTTGGCTCGGCGGGAGGCGCTGAGGACCAGCTGCGC